TTCGAGCTCGCTCGATCGGTGGTTGGAGGAGCTCGAATTTCGGGAGTTATGTAGCAGCGAAACGTCTATGTACTGTAAACTGGAAACGAACCTTACGATGCAAATGTGACGATTCGGTCGCTAATGCTGCTCCTGCAAAGCGGGCATTCCGTGCACGCGACTGCGCACGGTTGACACACTGCAAGAGAGAAGTTAGAATGAAAGGCGAGCGCGGAAACCATTGGAGAACTTACAGCAAAAATGGCGACAGGGTAGAAGAACAGCGGCCGTGGCGGCTTCGAAGCAAACTTTGCAAACGTGCGCGTGCTTGTCTTCGTCGTAGAGCTGCAAGTTGAGAGTGGGGGCTTCGGCGGTTGGCCGTTGGAGTCGCTCGAGTTTCCTTCGCTCTTGGATCCTGGCCTGGAGACAAACAACGACGAGCTATAGTTCTCACGACCGTTTTGGAAAGAAGTATCCGCGTGTACCTTGGCGTTGCTTAGCTTGGTTAGAGCTTCGATATGGATGGCCTGTAGGTCCTCCAGTTCACTGGCGTTCAGCTCCTCTACGGACTCTCCCTAGCAGAATTCACAGCCAAACAATCAGAAGTTCCAAACTGAGCTGACTAACCTTGAGCTGAGCAACGAGCGCCTTCAAGTCATCAGTTTCTTTGTCCTCTGAGCCGCTTGTTCTAAGCCTCTCCAGCTCTTGATGTTGTTCCTTGATTTTCTGTATGTTCGCTGCCGATTCTACACTTTGTGGTGATATAGGAGCAACGGCGGTTGAGACGTTACGTTCTGGCCTACATTCTGTGATCTCGACCACATCTTGAACAGGTCCACTGGTCGGAGGGTCGTTCGTTTTCATTTTTGCTAACAGAACCCACATGCTCGCCAAATCGTTTTCCAAGTCGGCTTCCCGCTGCTTTGATTCGTCAAGCTTTCTCTTTAATTCCTTCTCAAGGGCTTGCTTCTCTGAAACTGTTTGCTCTAGATATGCTTGCTTCTCTCTCTTAGATCGCAGTTCCTCCTTGAGAGCTTGGACTGCATATGGTATCATTAGCCTCCGATCAACACTAGAAACAGAAATTCTACCAGTTTTACCTTGACATGTGATACTCAAAGCTTCATTTGAAAGTCTCGTATTTTGAAACACCAACTTCTTGATTTGTTCGGTTAAGTCTTTAATTTCAGTAGCAGCTGCAGCTGCCAGGTCCCTGGCATAACAAGCTTCCTCTTCCAGTTTGACATTCTTCATTTGTAAGCAGTTGTTTTCTTCTGACAAACGACTCCTTTCCTGGCTCACTACCTCGATTTCAGCCTTCAAAGACAAACAAATGAATCAGTCAGTAGACAACGTCGAAACCGGCAACCAAACCTTCAGAATCACATCTTCTGTTTCTTTCTTTTTAGGATAATTCTCTTGATGTGAAACGACCGTTTTGATGGCTTTTTCAGCACATAGTCGCTCTCCGGCGTCGTTTGCCTCAATCAAGCAGTTCGTCGTTTGGGGTCCAAGAACTATTTTTTGATGGCTAGCCTTCTCCAGAGCTTCTTGAAGTTGTTGTTGAAGGCGACCATTTTTTTCTTGCAAATCCTTAATTTCAGCCACCTGATAAAAGCTTTAATAGCTAGTTGAAGAACCAAGAACCAAAATGTTACCTTTGATTGCAACTGTTCCTCAAGTACACGGTTGTCTGCTGTTCTGATCTGAAAAAGCACACGAAAATAGTTTACTTTGTGTTGCCAAATACTTCAAATCCAACCTCAAGCTCGAAGGCCTTCTCATTTAGCTGACTCGTGAGTTTTTCAATCGCCTAGATACAAAAAACTTAAATCCCAAATTGACGGTAGAACAACGAGTTACCTGGGACATTTCTGGGTAGGAGGATCTTTCTCCAAGCTCTGTTATTCTTTGCTCTAAAAGTTGCATTTGACTTTTCTTATCTTCAATGTCGTCCCTAAGCTTGCCAATTTGTACCTGAAACTTATTGAAGCACTTAAGACTCTTTCAAATGAACGGGCCCATACCTGTATTTCAACATCGTCTGGATGGTTTGCTGCTTGTTCGGATAGCCGCTTTAGCGAACTAGAGCGTAATGCAATTTCTCCAGCAAGCATCTTGACTTGCTCTCGTGTAAGATCGATTTGATCTGCTATGTCCTGCAAGCAGATGTTAAACTCAAAAGATTTGCATCAACAGTGACTTACGTGCTCCTGCCCGTTTCCTAAGTCAATACTGCAGGAATCAGTACACCGATCCGGTGGAAATGAAGAAGTATCTAGATCCGACTGTTCATCGTATCTCTAGACAATGAGCTCGTTAATACGATTGTACATAAAAAGAAAACCTTACCTCTTCCGACTCCGCAAAGGAATGCCTTCTATTATGAGCGGCGTCGGGAAAAGAACCTGACAAATTATTCTTTGTGGAGACTAGTATAAGCTTTGTGAGCTTATGAATTCGTCCCATTAAAGCTGCTTTAGCTTGTTCCTCTTCTTCCAATCTAGACTGCATCTTCAGCTGCCCGGCCTCGAGCTTAAATCCAAAAAACAATGAAAAAGTGTCAAAATTCTTTCAATCCAGCAAGCTTGTACTGACCTGTTGTCTAAGCGTTAATAGATCTTCTTGGTTTGTCGTAGCATATGGTCGTTCTGTCATGCCTCTCTTAATAAGCAGCAATTCTTGCTTTAATTTAGTGATCTCCTTTTGATATTTCTTTATCAGCGATCTTTCATCCATAATCTGACGCAAACATTGATACACTGGTGACTGTCTGTGAGTGAGATAATATGCTGCATACCCTGTTTGGAGCGGCATAAATCTCGATTCTCTTAGCTCTCTGGGCAAATTTAAGAGTGTTGTGTGTCTCTTCCATATTGCTGGAAGCTGGCGTAATTGTACAAATAAGCTGTCAAACATGAACTTCCGTTAATATCAAGAAACATATTGTTGCAGCTGTACGTACTGTTATGCGACCATTGCCACTTAACGAAGATTGCAAAAGCCTTGTCAGTTTGGAATCACGATATGGTATATGTGATGCTTTTCCTTCACTTAATTTCGCGATTACCTGCAAGATGACTTATCGTGAAAATTAAAGAGAAAAAACACGTCGTCTACCGTTCCCAAGGTAAGAAGACTCTTGTTTATGTAAGAGCCTTCTTTTCGACGCAAGCCAGTGGTTTCAGTTTTAGAGCTCTCAGATCCTGCAAGATCGATAAGATTCTACGAAGTCCGGTTGACAGTGTTAATTAGTTACCAGAATTATTTGATGGCTTACCAGCTGGGACAACGTGACTTCATCGTCCGGCCCCTGAGCACGTAAACTGCTTTCAATTGTCTGCAAATCAAAGTGTCAGTACTGTTTAGTATTCACAAATTATTACCAAGGTAAAGATGGTATGGCTTCGACTGCTGAACAGGTTGAAGTTGTTTGATCCAACGTGCCGATGCTCTGTGAAGAAATTGAAAACGGAGCGAACGTTTACAATGATGTACCTTCTCCAGCTGCAATGAGTGAAAGAGCATGCGATGGAGACAGCACAACCTCCTCTTTAACCCCTTCAACATAAGTCCCCTGTCATGTTTGAAAATGAAACCCTTAGATGTAAGTACTTGCATATTAAAGTTCTACCTGAGCATCCTCCCGAATGCGAAGATTTTGCCCTGCCGGATCGAGCAAATCGTTTATGACCTGGACGGTATATTTTGTAACATGTTAAGTTATAAACAAGGGAACAGAGGTAGCTTACTTCGTTGTATATTTCAAGGTAAGATACACGCAAGAGAAACTCCCGGTCTGGGGTCTGCGGCAAATGCCAGGGTAAGCAATATACGGATGAAGACATCTCACTGTTCACCTCTTGGATGATACTAAAAACATCTTTGATAGCTTGTGGAATCACTCCTGGATAATTTTGGTCGCCCTGGATTAACATTTGCAAAAGCTTCAAGAGAAAGAAAATGTAATAGAACTTACGTGCATTGTGTGTGTTTTCCCGCTACTGGTCACACCGTAAGCGAAAACAGTTCCTACAATGAATTGCCTTTAATTCTCAAACACTTACTATGGTGAGGCTTACCATTGATCCCTTCCATCGCGCCGCGCACCACGTTTCGTGCTACGGTGTCGTAAACATTTCTCGTGGTCGCGCTGGCCCCGAAGACTTTGTCTGGAAATCACAGAGAGAAGTCAGTCTTCGAGATTAAGCGTTGTGAAGAATCTTTCCAACCAAATGTATAAGCAACAGAAGGATTGAACTCGCTCCGGACAATGTCGCCGTCCACGTACCACGCAGCATTGTCCCCGCGATGAATTTCCCTTTCACTGAAAACCCAAAGATCGCCCAAAGATCTCACGGAAAGAACAAGAACAAGAGCGTCAAAATACCTCATGGGGCGAAATCGAACAGTCACAGAGATATTCTCCTTGCCGTAATCCACACTCTCATCGGAATGCATTGTCCCAGCATCCTGGGAGAAGCGCGGCGACGAGCAAGACGATGCCAGGAAATGCGAAGAGACTCTCCCACCATTGCTGCTCATCTGAGACAAAGCCCTGAATCCCGCCGAGCCACCGCTGCTCCTCCGTCCGGACGACGGCGGCGGGAGCATTCTCGGGGAATTCATCGATTGCCCGAACGATCCCTGGTGCTGCTGCTGTTGGAAGAGATTTCCATTCACCGAATACCTAAACGGCGACGCTCCCCTTTGCTTGGCCGCTGCCATGATCGATCCCCACCGAGCGGCGCCAATGCTCCTCCAGGCGCCCGATCGATCACACAAACCCTGAGGAGCTCCAAGATCTAAGCATGCATTGGCAAAATGGGGCGATCTCTTTGCGCAAGAGCGCCTTGTATGTGGATGTATGTATGCTTTTTAGAGACCAAGACTCCAGGAGGATGACATGGCGGTCACACGAGCCATGTCATAACGGAGGCAACCGGTTGGCCGCGACACGTGTCGCTTCACGTGTGGTGGCCCCGTCGTGCCAGGAAGTGCCCCATGTGCTTGGCGGGAAAAGCTAGAATATCTGCTGAATATTTCCCAGTTCAAACATCATGTGCCATAGATTGCAAGCCAAGTCAAATGGCAGCAAACAAAACACGGCGATTCGGCGAATATCCCTCTCTGTGGAGAAGGATCTTCCCCCAGCGTGAAATGGAGAGCCCAACGAACTGTCCTTTCCAAAAACTTGCCACTTTTTCTCTAAGCCTCTCGCGCAGCAAGATCTTAGCTAGAAACTTGTTGCTCTTAATTGTACCGCAACATAATCCTCACGTTTTTGAGGACAATGGACGAGATTCGCACTGCTTGTCTCCGACCAAGACAACCAAACTGTCATAAAAAAAAAAGAGACACGACATGAAAGAACTTACAAAAGCAAAAGCGTTTTGCGTGCTGCTGATGGGTCCTCCTCCTGTGAGTAGTGTACGTTGCACGACTCACCGAGAAAGCTGCAAACGTTTTTGGCCAGACGTGCCGCGTTCGATCATTCACAAGGGCTATCCTTCACGTCAGAGACCTTATTTCGAGTATATGTTCCATGCGACAGACTTCATCTGGTAACTCTAAAAGACTGCAAGAAAAAGATGGACTGCTAAACAAAAGCACTAGCGCAGAAAATTGATAGCTTACCTTCACTTGAGCGAGCAAATCTCTCGCGTCAGCATTGTGCTTGAAGTGATCTCGCACCGGCTACAAATCAGCATTAGCAATGTTTGGCGTGCGACAGGAGGCAATGGATATACCTGGAGAATTAGATTGAGTGATTTTGCCAAAGACGTCTTGATCTCATCGGAACTTATCAGTCCTGACTCGAAGTCGCCATTCAGCTTCTCAGCTGACTCGTAGGTACTGTAAGAAATTGACGTTATAGAGACGAAGGAAATAGTAAAAGAAACGCGAGCTTACAGATTTCCGCCTCTTTCTTCTGAACGGCAGAGCTCAAATCGGCCATGCCACGGGATGACGACGTACTTCACGTATTCCAAGCACGGGTTCCCTTCCACAACGTTCGGACAGAACGCACCTGCAATTTTCCTGTTCACATCATCCTGTCTAAAATATTAGTATCGGGCATTTCTTAGCGCTGTGTGCCATACCTCTTCGTCTTCCATAAATATCGCAGACTCGGGATCACTTTTCGACATCTTCAGCTGACCTTCCTTCAGCCCCGGCAGCATATCTAGAATAAAGAGAAAACAAAAATAAGTCAAAATGTGAAAACAACAAAAAAATACAATTGGAAACTTAAGCATACGATGAGACAAAATAATTGGTTTGAATTTCCGTTTGGTAGCAGAAGCATACTCTCTTGCAAGCATGTTCACTTTTCTCTGATCGAGTCCAAGCTGACAAATATCAGCCTGCGGAAGAAAAGAAAAGTTGGAGTATTTCCGAAACTTGATACTGGAAATGCCCGTGCTCACCTTGAGGAAGAACACATCCGCGCACTGCATACACGCGTACATGATTGCAGACACCGAAAGCTCTTTTGGATTGGTCCGTCCCATAATTTGCGAGCATCTAGACAAAGAAAAGAAGACAAAGGAAGAAAAAAAAAAATAAAACAAAAAAGAACCGTGTAAGACCTTCATGAGTCACTTGGTCCAATTATGACAACGTTACTTGCCTTAGAATACGAGGAAGATTGTTCCTGCGAGCGATATCAAAGACAAGCTTCCAGTACTCCTCGGCCCTCGAGTTGATCTCGTGAGAAGACCATAGAAACTCCACCTGATTGAGATTCATACCAACAGCCTTCCACACTTCGATCATGTAGCGCCCCACGGTCTGGATCTTGTGGAGATCGCCTCCCATCTTGTTGTTGAGCTGCGCAAACCAGTCCGCGACCCAGAACTTAAACACGCATCCAGAGCTTGTCAATTTGTTAACATTCAGTGCCTTCATCACTCCCTGCGATCAAAGGGTGGAAAGACAAAACGAATTAAGGCGATGTGGACAAACTCTCTCACCTGAGCGATGTGGACTCTGCCAGACGGTTCAAATCCATCGTAGCAGATCGGAGGAGTCGGCTTGTTCTTGAAGAGCGCGGCCAGATCCTCGGCGCCAGTGCATTCTTCGCCGACGCTCAGCGCCAGTTTCACTTTCTCCTGGATCGCAGCCGCAGCAGCGGCATCCTCTTGCGCCGGCAGATCCGCCATAGCGATAGCGACGCCCTATCAAAAACCCTAGGCCCAAGAACCCTAAGTCATTGTGGGGGCGGCATTTGATTCGCCATGGACGACGGGCTCCCGCAGACCGATATGGAGCGCCTCGTCTTCTTCGAGGCAATGCGCGAGCGCTGCGCCGCGGAGTATCTCCGCAGCCCTCACGATCCAGAGGTAAGGAATCGCGCCATTCAATCCAAATGCTGTGGAGTCTTCCTTGCGATTAAATGATTTTTTTCTTAGAACCTAACGAACTGGGGGAACGCTCTGCTCGAGCTAGCGCATTTTCAACAGGGCGATGAATCGGTCCCGCTTGTAGAAGGTCGGATTTATCTTTTCCATTCAAATCACTCTCGTTGTTCTTGTAGATTCAATCTCCAAGCTAGAAGCTGCGCTAAAGATCAATCCAAAGAAGCACCAAACGCTCTGGATTCTAGGAAACGCTCACACTTGCCATGGGTTCCTCGTAGCCGATGTTTTAGAGGCTAGCGAGCATTTTAAGAAGGCAGCTACTTGCTTCCAGGATGCATACAACGAGGTGAAAAGCATAGCTTCGTTTTTGCAATTGTTGTGATGTTATCCTTTTTTTTTCTTCCAGGAACCCAGCGAAGTTTACTCCAAGTCTCTAGAAATGGCTCGCCAAGTACGTTGCGAACAGTCTTTTCCCCGTGAATTTTTCTAGAGCTTTTTTACAGGCACCATTGCTCCATCAAGAGCTCCAGGTACAGCTCGCTTCTCAAGGGATGGCGATCAACGCTTCATCATCGTCGAGTAGAAGCGGAAACAAGGTAAAAACACTTCCATTACTGGTTAAAAAACTGGAGTTTTCACGAAACTTTCTAGGGAAAGAAGAAGAAATCGTCCAAGCGCAGCGATTTGGCCTATGATGTTCTTGGATGGGTGGTTCTGGCTATTGGAATTGTTGCGTGGGTTGGGATGGCAAACATGGCAAAAGCAGCTCCTAGTGCCAAGTAGTACCTCCTAATGTTTTTCCTTTGTACATCAATTTTGAAAAGAACAAATGCATTTCAATGGCAGCACCAATGCTCACAGTGAAGCTGTATGTTGTGAAATTTGAATTTTCTTACTTAAATTCGCAAGAAAAATTATAAATAGCTAGTAATAAAATTATATTTTTTATAATATAATAAATTATTTATATATTAAATAAATAATACAGAGTTAATCAGTGTTTAGGATTTTTTTTCATTAGTGGATATTGACTCTACCACACATAGTTAACAATTAAAAATTGTTAAAATATTTTATTTTTCCAACAAGCATAAACCATATTAATAATCAGTATCCACATTTAAATTAATAATTTTTCATGGCATATAATTAATAATATAAAATTTTGTAAATGTTATTAATAAATTTGTATTGTAAAACCGATCACCTACCTTGAGTGATAACTTCCCTAGTGGTGAAAATCGTAAGTATTTTTGATAGTTTTTCCTTTTTTCCTTTTGAACTGCATATCATAATCAAAGTTTTGGCACATTATTCTGGAGAAAGACAAAAGAAAAAAAATTTAATAGTCAGTAACAAAAAATTTGGGAGTAGCTTATGTTGTTTTGCAAATAAGTGTACTCCACCTTATTATTCACCTCATTAGGGATTCCACTTAAAAACTTTTTAAGATGATAATTAAAACTTTTAAAGGAGTAAAAAAAGATATAATAAAATATTCATTTTAAAATTTAATGGTTTAATATCTTGCTTTTTAAGTTTTTCAATAACATTCCAACAAATCATTATATTAAAATGGATGATAAAACATATTTGGTGATTTACTAATTTTTGTGGCTACATGATATAAACAAAAAATTTTAATTTTTACAATTAATATGCAAAAGCATACATTTTTTATTATAATATAAACTAATACAATAATTAATAACGGTTTAAAAGCTTATACTTATGTTTGAATGTCAAATTCTTATTAAAAAAAATTACGGAACAAGCATCTAAATTACTTCAAAAATTTGAAAATATTTATATATTCTAAATGTTTCATGGTATGATCTGTCTATCTATGTTTATAATTCCTGTTCAAACGTGTCTCCTTGGTGCATTCCTTGCCTCACATACTCTGAGAAGTGAAACTCCTGCGCCACCATACTTGCCAGATCCATCCGTCCAGCTTCTCTATAAACCTCCAAAACTGTCCTATAAGTTGCGGGGCTCGGCTGGAAGCCACACTCCTTGAGCCTCCTAAACATCCTCCCAACGCCTTCCAAAAGCCCGACTTTCCCGTAGGCAGCGATCACGCTCCCATAGCTCGCTTCGTTGAGCTCCACACCCCTAGCCTTCATCCGCGAGTAAACTTGGAGCGCCACGTCCAGCTTCCCAGCCTTTCCAAACGAGTAAATCAGCGCGTTGTAAGCGTCCACGCCGAGCGAGAGTCCCTCGTCTCTCTCGGCCCTCTGGATGGCGAACGCGATCTCGGCGGCCTCGTCGCTCATCCCGGCTTGTGCGTAGAGCAAAGTTAGCACCACCATCGTCTCCAGGCTCGTGCTGCTTTGCTCGAGCCTCTGGATGAACTCTCCAGGAACCATTCCAGCTCTCTCCAAAATCTCCTCGAAGCAGCTAAAGGTGCTCCTGCTCGGGACCAGCCCGGCTCGCCTCATCTCCTTGAGAGCCTCCAGTGCTTCTCTCATCAGCCCGGCCTTCACGTACATGGCTATGACGCCATTGAAAGCCCGAGCGTCCGTGATGAGGAAGCGCCTCGACATGACCCTGGCGACGTCCAGTCCTTGCTCGATCTTCCCGGCCTCCCTATAGAGCTTGAGCATCATCGTGCAAGCCACTTCGTTAAGTCCTGGCTTCCCGCGCTGCATGGCTCGAAAGAGCTGCTCGGCCTCCGTAAACATTCCAGACTTGATGTAGAGGTTGAGCATCGTGTTGGCCGCGAAAACGTCCGGGCTTAGCCTGCTTATTTCCTCGTAGATCTTCTCGGCCTCCGCTGTAAGTCCCAAGTTACTGTAGAGCTTCATCATCGACGTGTACACGATCGTGTCCGGGACAAAGCCAGCGGCTTTGAGGCTGTCGAGCGTCTGCTGTGCCTCTCTCGCGAATCCTGCTTCGGCATACGCGTTGAGCAAGGCACTGTAGCAGATAACGTCCGCCTCAACACCGGATGCTAGCATTTCCTTGAACACCCTCTCGGCTTCTCTGACCCGTCCCATGTCGCCGTAGAAGCTGACAACCGAGGAGCACGAAGCCAGGCTTGGCTTGAATCCCGCTGCCTTCACGAGCACCAAAACTCTTTGCAAGATCTCCAAAAGTCTCCCTTTGCAGAGGAGCTGTATCAGTGAGTTGAAAGACGCTTCGTTGGGACTCGCTCCATCTTTCTCCATAGCTTCGAAAACGGTCACAGCGTCGGTAAACCGGTCGCAAGCGCCGTAAGCTTTCATCATCACGTTGTATAGCGATGGAGTCTTCAAGCCCGCGTTCTTGGCGAGCTCGAAAACTTCCCGTGCTTGGTCCAGGCACTTGTGCTCGGCGTAAACGTCCATCACCCCGACATAGGTGCTGACTTCCAATCCTCCCCGAGAATGGAGGAAACGAAACACCGACTCGGCCTTCGAGACGTCTCGAGCTCGGACATACATGGCGATCATCACGGTGTACATCGCCTGGTCTATGAAAAACCCGGAGCCTTCCATCTCTTGGACAAGAGCCTCGGCCTTCCAGACGACGTTGTTTGCAGCGTAGGCACTGATAAGCGTCCTGAAAGTCACTTGATCCGGGGACACTCCAGAGTCGCGCATTCTCTCCAGGCACCCGGAAACAAGCTCCAGCTTGTCGTTCTTCACGTACATCTCGATCAGGGAGTTGTAAGTCGCGACGTCCGGGCAGCAATCCTTCCGCTGCTTCATCTTGGTCACTAGCAGCTCGGCTTCTCTGGTCCGGCCAGCTTTCCCATAGACGTGGATCATCGCGTTGAAAGTAACAGTAGTGAGCTCCACCCCGGCCTTCATCATCTCCGCGAAAACCTTGGACGCCTCGGCAAACTTCGCGTGCTCGCCGTAGAAACTTATCATGGTGTTGAAAGTCTCTGGATTCTCAGGCCTCTTCGTGGTGCCATCCACTAAGTTCTCCGAGAAGAGCCCCCAGAACGCCTTCTCGGCCTCTTCCAAGTCTCCAAATCTTCGCTGGAGATTCATATAAGTGCTCACCATGACTTCGTCCGGCTCCACTCCACTCTCGATCATATGCCGGTAGAAACGAATGGCCTCGTCTTTCATGCCTGCTCGTCCGTGAACGTCCACCAAGATGCTGTACGTGAAGATCGTCGGGGGGACTCGCTCGCCAAGCATTTCACTCCAGTACTTTTGGAGAAGCTCCCACTTCGCGGCCCTGCCCAGTGTTCTAAGCAAGATGTTGTAGAGAAAGACGTTGGCCTCGTAGTTGTCTTGCCGCTGGAACCAGCTGAAAACCTCGATCGCCTTCCTCCAGTCACGCTGCTCGCTGAGAATTCTCGATAGCTCTCGACTCTCCAGCCTGCCGGCTCGATCCAGCACCAAGGAGACGGAGGAATTTCTCTCTGCTAGAGCCGCGAGAATCGAAGAAACGTGAGCACTGTGCTGTTTTCTCGCTCTGGGAGAGTTTTTCCCTGTCTGACTCTCCCACTCTTTCCTTCCCGGTGGCTTTTGCGGCCGCCGGGACGAATTTCTAGCAATCTTTCCCGTTGCACACTGCTGCCCTGTGTCCACGAACCTCCTCGCTCCTGGAAACTGCGGCATTCTCACCTCGTGATCGATCGGCGGCTCCTCCATAGAATAATCCGAGCGAAATGCGCTCACTGAGAGGCGCGAGAGGACATCGCAGCAGCAGGGCGGCGATGGCGCCATCATCCAGCGCTTCTTGGAGGAAGAAATCGGGGGAGGGGGGAGGAGCCCGATCGAAGAGTGCATTTTCTTTCTTTCCTTAAACCCTTGCGCGCTAGAACCCTAAACTTATTTTAGGTCAAACTGGAGGAGAGTCTCGCATTTGGGAGAGCGCCCACGCGAGATCCCGCATCGTCGGCCGCTTCTTTGGATCCATCTCCAGGCAAGTCCTCGCCAGGAATGCCAGCGTCGCGGCATTCTGGACCGAGAAATCAGGGTCACTTGCCTCTAGCAGCGCCGGATCGATCCAATCCAGCAGGGAATCAGCCTCCCGGTCCAAGTCGGAGTAAATCGCCTCGTACAGGAACACCGGATTGATCTTCCCGGATGGGAGGCCCTTCCTCTTCCAAGAACGCAGCTCCGATGGCTGGATTATCGGCTCCAACCCCGTCAGGAGCTCCAGCAGCACGACGCCAAACGCGAAGACGTCGATCTTGGTGGTGACGGTGCCGTGGAGGAGGTACTCCGGGGCCTTGTAGCCCTGGCTATGGCTGTCGATGGCGATCGTGGTGCTAAGATCCTCGGTTGGAGCGCTGGGGCCGAGGAATTTCTCCGATTCTTTCGCCTTTTGGAAGCTGGAGATCTTGGCCTGGTACGCTGCGTCGAGAAGAACGTTGCTACTCCGGATGTTCTTGTGGACAAAGCCCGGCCGCGCGTAGTTGTGGAGGTACTCGAGCCCCCTGGCCACATCCAGCGCGATCGCCAGCCTCATCTTCCAGCCAAGGATAACTCCGCGATCGAGAGGAGCAGCAGTGAAAGCACCAGTTGGCGACGATTTTCGAGAGGAGGGATCACCACCATCTAGCGAAGATCGTCGAGCGGCAGCAAGGCATTTGCGAAGCGATCCATTCTCGGCAAACTCATACGCGAGGAACGTCTGGTTCGTGTCCTCGTCGTGGCAAGCGCCGACGAGCGCGATGAGATTGGCGTGGTGGACGCGGCAGAGAACCCGGGTGCTGGTGGTGCCGTCCTCGGCCTTTTTGATCGCCACCTTGGTCCCGCGAAGAACAGCCACGTACATGGACGAGGAGCCCGGGATCCTGGCAGCCGGATCAAAGTCGCCGGTGGCGTCGCGGATCTCCTGGAGCGAGTACCAGGTCGGCTTCACCGCGTCGAGCACGTCGGGCATGCTGAGCTTGGCGCCGTTGGGTCGAGTGGACGAGTTCTTGGGCGAGAAGAACGGCGGCGACAAGAGCTTGTGATCCTGGCTGGGGAGAACGATAGTGTCGGACACCATCTTCCCCGCCACCTTGCGGCGCCGCTTGAGCACGACCACGGAGATGGCAGTGAGGAACAGGAGGAAGAACCCCACCGCGGCACTCGTGATCCCGAGATAGAACTTCCACTCGGAGCCATTCCGCTTCGGGGGGATCGCTGGAGCATCAGCTGGCGGTGGCGGTGGCGCCGGCACGGCCGGCAGTTTGAGCGTGGAACCATCTCTCACGGGAACCAGCAGCGTTGTTCCTGGCTGGAGCTTCGTGTTCTGGAGCCGGTTCTCTTCCAGCAGCTCCTTCTCATCGACCCCGAGCTCGGCGTCCACGCTCGCGACCGAGGGCGATCGATCAACGTCGCCCAGCACGTACGTGACGAGGCGGAGGCCAACTCGATCCGAGCAGGCGCAGCGCAGCGGCACCTGGATCTGGCTGCCAACCGCGAGTTGCGTGGGGATCATCCCGGGATTGGAGGCCTCGATGGTGGTATCGGTGGTGAGGAAGTGGAAGACATCGTTGGCGATGGAGAAGTAAGTGTCGCCGGGGCGGACTTTGTAGCTGACGGTGGCGGAGGATCTGTTGGTGGTGGAGTTGCAAGAACAGGGGACTGGCACGAGCAGGAGCTGATCGATCGAGAAGGTGGCGTTGATCGAATCCGGGGGGTTCGAGGATAGGATGTCCGGGACTGGTGCCTTGAATTGGTCGGAGATATCTTGGAGAGATCGACCCTTTTTGGCGAGGAACACGAGCTGCGCTGGGCAGGAGGAGAAAAATGGAGAGTCGGAGCACTTGTAGCCCAGCTGGTCGTGCTCGTTGTAGTCTTGGCTGGAGAGCGCGAGCTTGGCGATGGTGATGACGAGGAGGAGGAGGAGGGGAGGGAGGAATGGAGCGTACCGTGGAGAGGAACTGGGGGCGGGTATCGTCGCCATCGTCGCCAGGAGGAGCATCGGATCGAATGGAGAAATGGTTTGAGCGCGCCGAGGTCTGAGAGTAGGACGATTCGATCAAAACGATCCATGTAGTGTGATATCAGCCATTCTTGTCGATTTCTGGCATGGTTATTCTCTTTTTCTCTGTTCGAATCAACAAAGCCCTAGAAACAGGGGGCTCTGTTTAGCCCTAAATATAACATTTTGTCACCATTATTCCTAGCAGCAACATTTTATGTTTTCTAGTCAACATTTCCATCCATAAGGTAATAGATTACTTTTGTTATTAAGACTACACTTATGCATGAACTAATCAGGCATGGTTGAAGGCAGCGCAATCCCGGCGGATCTCTCCCTGTCCTCCCGTCTTGACGCCAATGCCGCCGAGCTTGTCCATGGCGACGGCGAACGCCTCGAAGAATCGCGGCTGCGATCCAGCAAAGAGATTGACGAGCGGCCTCGCGGAAGAGTTGGAGGTGGAGAAGAGGGCCTGGTCGGAGCGCAGCAATCCTCGCCCGTACAGTGTGTTCTTGAAGAAGGCGTTGTCGAAGAGGTCGGGCGTGGAGGGGTCGAGGTGCGTGACCAGGGTTGGATCCAGACTCGGGCCCCTCGGGCACGCCTGGCGGAGCTCGGCGGCGTAGGAGGGATTCATGGTGGAATCGATGGTTCCATAAATGCGGTCCATGAATTGGTTGCAGTGCGCGAATCCAGCGGTGTGGCCTCCTCCTGGGATGGAATAAATGCATCCATCGATCGATCGATCGAGGACTGCAGGTGTCAGCAGTACAAGAATGTAGAGAAAGAATTTATGTCATGTAAGATCGTGGGAATGGTTTTATTGTTCCGGGATGTATGGATGCTAACCCAAGCGTGAATGATCTCTCGATTGACTAGCACGGAGCGAGGAAAAAATGCTTGGAAAAAAAAAGGCAAATGTTCTGAGAAGCTTTGAATTGTCTTGAGCGTATGATATCAGGTATAGGATTGGAGTGAAAGGGAAGGAGTTCATACCGGTGAGCGCCACCATGTCCTGGAGAGAGAGGCCTTTGGAGGCGAAGAGCGAAGTTAGCTCCGCCACTGTCATGTTTGGCATGGGGAGATTTCCAGGAACTCTGGAAGCTTTCGAGACCGTGCCATCTCTCCGACCAAGACGAACTTCCCAAGAGGGCCCTCCAATCTGTAGAAAAACGGAAGCTTTGCGAACTTGAAGATGTTGTCTCTCAGTTTCTTACCAGGACGACGAGCTCTCGGGTGCTCAAAGCAAGAATGTCGGCACAGGAGACAACGCCGGGGCACTTTGATTCCACCGCGGCCTTGGCCTTGATCACCGCGTCAAATCCATCGCCAGGCAAGGAGAGGTTGACCTCGGCATCCTTCTCAGCCTTGTTGCTCGGAGTGGACGCGACTAGCACTGAGGCATCACACCCCTTTCGAAGAAACAAAGTTAAGCTTTTAGAATGCGCCAAGCCAAGAACAGGAACGATCCGCAAGGCTGTTTTACCTCAACCATGCAATCGTGGAAGAAGATCCGCAGCGTCCCAGCCGCGGCCACTGGCGTCTGCGCAAACTTGGCCGCAATGACGCGCCGCACAATGCTAGGGAGCTCCGGGCAGGATCTCACGTAGAAGTCAGTGGCGAGGCGAGGGGAAATCGCGATCTCGGCGACGATGAGCACCGGAGCAACTGCGAGAAAGATTGAAAGCAGTGCACTGCTCCTCTTCATTTTGTCACCCAAGATCTTTTTTCTCTCCCAGAAAATAACAGAAACAAAGAAATGAAAACAAAAGAGCAAAAACAAACAAGTTATGTGGGGGGGAACTCTACTAGGCATTTAAAGCTTTTGTAGGAGCTTGGTCTTGTAGATTGGAAAGGGGGGCAGTGGAAAACAAAAAGGAGTCCTGAGATGTGAAGGAAGTTGCACAGAGAATACTTGGCAATTGCAGCTCTCTCTGCAACTCTATACTGACTCCTGTTGAAAATCAAAGCTTGGAACGTGAACCCGGCAGTACGCCTGGTGAATATTCGTTTTGTACCAAAGTTTTGGATATTCTATCCGAGATAGTTTAATGACAATATGTTTATAAAAGTTTGATTTAATTAAAATTTTCACTTTATAAATTAATAGTTGGATGTCATTCACTTTACGATAATTACAGGATTAATATAATTTTATTACCATTATCAACCTATACATAAAAAAAGAGAGGATTTTAAAAATAAATTTAAGTGAGTTATAATAAACATCTATTGTCTAAATTGTTCATTTCTTAAATGAAAAGTTTCTTAACTATAAGGCTTTTTAAATTTGATATATTAGGATGTACCAATAAATTAACTTATTGTGTTTAAATATCTTTAAGGATTTATATTAGCTTTGCTAAAATTGTTTTTCTAATAATATTTAAAAAAATTATTATGATTTACAATTTAGCATGGTAAAAAAAGACTATTCAAATATAATAAAACTAAACAATTCATGAATGAGAAAATTAATTTATAAATCAACTATTTAAAAAGTAATACTAATAAATTATTTATGGTGATGCATTATATTGCAATAATAAAACTAATTTACAACTATCATTTAAAGTGGAAATTGAAATAAGAAACAAATACTTTATTTAAGTAAAGGTTATAAAAGATTTAAACATAATTGTATTGTTATGATTTGTAACATGTTTGTGTTTGTGTTAAATATATCAAACTATATTTTAATCCTAATGGAAAAAATAAAAATTTGTAATCTTTTCAATTATTATATTATCATTTTAAGGCTGACCCAATACAATCCAAAACACTTATAAAAGTTAATTTAATTACAAAATACATATATAAATTTCGTAAATCTTTTTCACTTTCTTTTTTCTTTTGGAAAATTGCCAATTTCCGTCTTACTCTTTATAACAATTTCCTTCACTTTTTTTTTCCTTCTGAAAGCAATTACTTTTCACGTGAAGAATGCCAAAAGGTTTGTCAATTTCTGTGAGAGTTTAGTTCTAAGTAAGATAATGTGAGCCACGGAACTTTTTTCTTTTTCTCTCATAATTTTCTACTCGTCATTACAATGGAAAGAGATCTTTAGCCTAAGATATGCTCCAAGCCGGCTCCTCGTCTCCAAAGGGGTACGCCTCGTATCTCATGAAGCAATCCACAAACATAGCGCGGCCGCCGACGGCATTGCCACACTGATCCGCCAGAGCCGCGGCCACGCCCTTGAGGCAAACGCCACACTCGCCCGCGCTCAAGGCGTGGCGGCACTTGGCATGGCCGTAGACGAAGCGGAAGGGCCTGGGCGAGATGGCGGTGTAGTCCTTGAAGTCGCGCCTGGGTGTGGTGCCGAGGAGATCATCCAGCACAAGGCCCAGGTTCTTGCCAAACGGATCGCCGAAAGAGTAGAGCGCCGAGTTGCACAGCGCTGACACAAGCTCCGAGCCCGATGCAGCGGTGGTGGATAATCTCGCCACTGCCAGCAGCGAGACGACGACGACGAGGATTCCATTCTTCCTACCTTGCAAGGATCCCATTTCTCGGGCGCCCTAATTTGATAAGGGCAAACGTAATAGAAAGTCAACTAAGATAAACCAAATTAATTATTATGAGGCGCAGCTGGTGTAGTGGTATCATAGTACCCTCCCACGGTACTGACCGGGGTTCGATTCCCCGGCTGCGCAGTTATTTACGTTTTTTGTGTTTTTTTCGAGATCATGGCGTTCCTAGCGGAGGCCAAAGAGATTTTTAATGAGAGGAACTTGTAATCTCTAGATGTGTGAGCTATTTGAATCCAAGTAAATTGATATCAATGTGATCTCCGCTTGCACGCGATCGATCAAGCCGATGCTGGTCACTGCTACGCGCAGCTTGTGGGAATGCCTGAACGTCATTTTGATGTATGGCGACCGTGTGCTCTCTCTCACGCTCTCAGGATCCATGGAGATTCTCCCAGACGAGGCTTGCTTTCGTTGAGTTGATGGAAGGTGGCCGAGTTTGCTTTCTCCATCGATGGATGTGTCAAGGCTTTGGTCATTGATCGAATCAGCTCCAAAGCTCTAGAGCTTAACCTGTCACTCTTCCAAAGCCGAGACTCCAGATTGTTCCACTCTCCTGAACACCAAACAAGCATCGTTTAGACTCTTATACATGGTCCTGAGGAAACTACATCACTTACCATGGTTGCCAAGAGGCCTCGAAGATTGTCACCAGAGTGATCCACTCCTCTCGCTACATTCGCTGGAGCCGGATCCTTGATAGAACTTGTACTTGCAGAGAAGGACATCTTCTCGGGGTTGAGCATTTTTTTTTTCTCCCTCTTCCGCTCCTCTACCAGAAAAGGAAAGAAAACTATACAGTGCCGGATATCTGGAACACAAACAAGCATCATTTAGACTGAGTCTCAAACTTCCCATACATGATAAAAATGCTACTCATAATCTCGATGCGTCAAGTGACCAAGATCACCAAGCAGCATAACAGTTGACTGCCGAAGATCCCATCGCCAACATGCCGTTTCATCTGGACTGGAGATGCTTTCTCGCTGCTTGCAAGGCTGATCCCAACGTTGGCTGGAGTTTTGGAGCTGAATCCTGGCCATCCTCATGCATCATCCTTGACAAAGAGATGCCCAAGAGACAGTGAGGGTCCTCCATATCCTGTCACTCTTCCAAAGCCGAGACTCCAGAGGTCTACACTGGTTCCACTCTTCTGGAAACCAAGCAAGCATCGTTCAGACTCTCACACTTTTGATACATGGTCCTAAGAAAAGCGTGAATTCTCTTACTATGTTCTTAGTTGCCAAGACGCCTCGAAGACTGTCACCAGAGTGATCCGGTACATTCGCTGGAAGAGCCAGATCACGAGCTTTCCTTGAAAGACCTGTTAGGAAACTTGTGATGCAATACTTGCAAAGAACGAGCTTACGAGCTTCTCGGGGTTGAGCATTTTTGTCTCCTCTCCCGGTCCTCTACCAGAAAAAAATTGTACACAAGCTTACGGGGACAGTTTGGAGATGGCTTTGGTCGCCTGCCCGAAAAGGATTTAGAAATGCATGTACAGTTGTTCTACATACCTTTAGAAAGGAAGGAGTTTTTGAGGATCCATCTGATAAGAAAGCAGATGAAAGCAATTGTTGAAGACTTTTCACCTTAGGCAGGAGAACCATTTCGCGAGCTCATCTGGATGAAGCAAAAGCATCCTGCGAAGTTGCGCCAACCATGCCTGAGAGTGAACCAGACAAAACGAATGTAAGGGAAAAAAAATTGGAGAAAAGAGAGAAAACTTCTACCTCGGACCATGACTTGCGAATGGCTGGTACCTGGAAAGCCTGGGAAAGAAGAGAAACAAAAGAACAAGCCTTTCAACTAAACGCAAACGTGAGAAGACCCGCAAAGGATTTCCGCCCCGGTAAATCGATCTACATTGGCATCCTTCGCAGAAAGAATCTATACAAGAGTGTCATCCGACTCAAATCGCGTCATCAAAAACAGAAAGAAAGAAGGAACGAAAGGAAGAAGTAAAAACTGATCGCTCGCTTCGTTGTCACAGCCAGGCCGCTTCGCCGGCAGCTCTTGCTTGCTTGCGCTTCCGCTGCGGATCACACCGTCTATTGCTCCGCAAATCCATCTAAGGATCTTCGTTCGGGATCATCACCAATGGGCATAGCGAGAACTTGCAGCCGTTCTTCGGGATCTTCCACGACCCCACGGTGTCAATGGCGCGATCAAAGGACACAATGCTGCGGTCGAACGACGCGACACCTCTGTCAAAAGAAGCCGCGACTTTGTCCACGCCTTTGTCGAAGGACAGAGTGATCTTCTCGATGCCTTTGTCGAAGGACAGAGCGATCTTATCTCCCACCTCAGAAGCAGTGCGACTAGCCTCCGAGATCGACTTGGCCAGCTGAGACTCCGATCTTCCGAGCATATATCCCGCTGCCGCCCCGGCCACCGCTGCTCCGACGATTCCCAGCCCTAGCGAGACAACATCCCTGTCCCTCGCCATAGCTGAAAACCCTAAGCTCACGCCAAAAGCCTCCTTTGATTAAAAAAGGGTTAAAATGCCCCAGGAATAAAAGTTTCATGTGACCGTTTGGATCGGACGGCTACAAATGGAACCCTAGGATTTCGTCAATGTGACATTGGCGCTCGCTCACACCGTCTTCTTTGCAATGGTCGCTGTTTGTAGGAAAGATGGAAGCTAGCCGAATCTTCTTTCGATCAATGGGCCAAGGCTTTGGTACACTTCTCCAAACACCAGAATGAGCTTCCAACGGATTAATCTAGATTGGCTTTCTCGCTGCTTGCAAGGCTGATTCACAAAATTGAGCATTTCTTTTATTCTCCTCTTCCGGATCCCTAAAGAATTTACATATGGCATCTAAAGTTCTTCAAATCACATCGAGAAAGGAGACAGCTTCAATGAACCTATCTGATAAGAAAGAAGTATCAGACATTGATTAAGAGAAAATTTACCTCCTTTGACTTAATTTCAAACGAGCCCTAAATCCATTTATTTTAGAATGAGCATATTTTCTTTCAAACGAATAAACGATTAGCCTTTATTTTAGATCAAGTATATTCCCTTTCAAACTGCGGTGCTCTTGAGCAGCAACGCCTCCACTGTGAGCCCCGGCCCAAAGCAAAGCATGATGCCCCAATCGCATCCCTCGCCGGTGCTCCTCATGCCCGCCCGCGTCGATCCCTTCCTCATCTCCTCCAGCACGAACAGCACCGACGAGCTCGACATGTTTCCAAAGTCCGCCAGCACCTGGCGCGTCGCGCGCATCTTCTCCTCGTCCAGCTGCAGCCTCGCCACCATCTGATCCAGGATCGCGGGGCCTCCCGGATGCACCACCCAGAAGAGATCGTTGTAGCTCGCCACCCCCGCGCGATCCAGCATCCCCCCAAGCACCTTGCCCAGGTTCTTGGCAATGATCCCAGGGACGTCCTTGAGGAGGTGGAAGACGAGGCCGCACTCGCGGAGGTGTCCCAGGATCGCCCCATCGCTCTCGGGAAGGACCGTCTGGATTGCCGAGTGGATCTCGAACAGGGGCTTCTCGATCCCCGGCCTGGGATCCGCGCCGACGATGAGCGCCGCGGCGCCATCGCCAAACAGCGCGGATCCGACGAGCCCGTCCAGGTGCTTGTCCGACGGCGCGCGAAAGGTGACGGCGGTGATCTCGCTGCACGCGACCAGCACCCGCGCGTTCTCGTTGTTCTCCGCGAGGTCCTTGGCGATGCGCAGCACCGTGCCGCCGGCGAAGCAGCCCTGCTGGTAGATCATCACGCGCTTCACGCTGGGGCGGAGGCCCAGGAGCTTGAGGAGCTGGAAATCGGCGCCCGGCATGTCGATGCTGCTGGTGGTGCCCAGGACGAGGTGCGTGATGGCCGACTTGGGCTGCCCCCATTCCGCGATCGCGGCGCTCGCTGCCTCCTTGGCCAGCATGGGCACCTCGCGCACGCCGATCTCCTGCCGGGCATCCAGTGATGCGCCCATGTAGCTGCAGATCTCTGGGTTCTTTTCGAGTATCTCGCTGGTGAGATAGAAGTGGCGCTTCTTGATTCCAGATCGATCGCCTGGAAGAGATCCAACTAAAGTTAGAGAAACAGCAAATGCCCAAAGCGCGCGCATTTGTGATCAAAAGGCGAGGCAAAATCTTACAGATTCTTTGGAACTTTTGCATCATCTCGGGCTTGTCAGTGGATTTGGTCGCACGGAAGAAGTACTCGGGGTAGCTGCTCTGGGGGAAGGATGTGGGCGGTACGGCGGTGCCAATGGCGAGTACGTTTGCCACTCCATTGGGCTTGCGAGCCATTGATGATCTTCTCCCGAGCTAAAGAAGAAGCAAACAACCAAGCACTCAAATGGAGCAATCAAAGCGAAGGGAAGTGAGATGTAAGGAAACATGCCTGGAAACATTGTGCTTATATATAACTTGTAGCGATTGACCATCACCTAACAATGTAAACACGATCCCAGCCCTAGTTTTCACTCCTGGTCTCTTGGAACTCTTGGAAGAGGGATGAGTGTACTTATGATTGGAACTGGGGACTCTTTCTGTGGAGTGGTGTTGTCACCAAGAGTGTGCCTTTGATTTGCGTATGTGGGTGTGTGTGTGTGGTGTTTGTACTTCAATAGAAGCGCTGAGAAAATGTAAGGTTACCTAGGAGACCATTAAAAGTACGTGGTCGGAGTCGAACCCACGACAAAGAGGTTAAAAGCCACTGTTTAGACAGAATCGAACCGCCAATGCACGATTGGGCGCCGTCTGTGGGGATCGAACCCACGACCACGTGGTTAAAAGCCACGCGCTCTACCGGCTGAGCTAAGACGGCTGTTCGTGAGGTTGTGCCTTGTGTGCTAGATTTTTTCTAGGCGGCAAAGCGGTGTTTTGTATCTTAGGGTTTATCCGATCGCGATTGCGATCGGGCGCCGATCGCTCATCGATTCAAAGTTCTTGCAAGATGGGATGGGAAAAAATGCGAGGATTTTTTTTCCCTCCTTGCAGCTAAGTCCCCTTTCCAAGTTCTTTCCCACTCTCGTTCTTCGCAAGTTCTTTTTGTGATTGCTCTTTTTGTTCACTCTCGCGCAAAAGTAGAGATTGGTCCCCTTCTACTTTTTTTTTTATATTTTGCTGTCTAACGTTGACAGTTGTCTATAGGGGTGATATTCGTCAAAGATCTCTCCATGCCAACGTCTGCTTGGCGCGATTTTCCCTCTCCCCTGTGAATAGAAGAGGGAGAGTAGCGCCCGTGGAACCGCGCTACTTATAACAACGAGGACGCAGCCATGAGGTATATTCCCGAGCATGGCCACCCTTTTATAAAGCTAGACATTTCTTTTAGGGGCGGTGGAGGAGAGGAGGAGCGATGGCGGAGGCCTCGGGCCTTGGACCCTGGGAGCTGGGCGGCGATTCCAATTTCGAGAAGCGGCATGGCGGGCGGCGATCCTGGCGCGATGACGATGGCAGCGGCGGCTCCGCTTTTGGCGAGCGGGCTGCCGATGATGATCTACTCTGGGCCGCGTTGGAAAAGCTGCCGACGTATCGCCGCCTGCGCACGGCATTCTTGGAGGAAATCGAGGGTCAAGAAGGTAAGAGCGGTCCTTCTTGCGATTTCTTGATCGAAATCCTGGTCGATGGATCGCTTTCTCGCGATATTTCGACCGAATTCTTGCGCGATCGGTCCCTTCTGATCGAAATCTGTGTGATCTGGCAGGAGGCGCGGGGCAAGATCACGCGGACAAGAGGCTGTACGTGGATGTGAGCTCGCTTAGCACGCAGGAGCGGCAAAGAATCCTCGAGAAGGCGTTTGCTACCACGGAGCAGGACAACGAGCGGCTGGTGGCGAGGCTGCGCGAGAGGATTCAAGCCGTCGGCGTGCAAATCCCACGGATCGAGGTGAGGTTTTCCAGCCTCTGCATCGCTGCCAATGCATACGTCGGCTCCCGGGCTCTGCCGACGCTCTTCAACTTCGTCAGGAACTTGGCCGAAGGATTTCTCTCAGTCTCTGGCATTCTTGCTTCCAAGAAGCGAGAGATTCAGATCCTCAAGGACGTGAGTGGGGTGGTGAAGCCGGGAAGAATGATGCTGTTGCTGGGGCCGCCGGGGTCTGGAAAGTCGACGCTCTTGCGAGCTCTAGCAGGAAAGCTGGATCCAAGCCTCAAGACATCGGGCTCCATCACCTACAATGGACACAGCTTCCAGGACTTTGAAGCTCGCAGAACCGCGTCTTACATCAGCCAGGATGACAACCATATCGGAGAGCTTACTGTTCGCGAGACTCTCGACTTTGCTGCTCGCTGCCAGGGCGTGGGGTTCACGTATGACATGCTGGTGGAGCTCGTTCGTCGCGAGAAGGAGGCGCACATAAGGCCGGATCCTTACATCGATGCTTTCATGAAAGCTTGCGCCGTCAAGGGGGCCAAGCACAGTGTCCGGACGAACTATATCATGAAGATGCTGGGACTGGAAGTGTGTGCCGACACGGTTGTGGGAAGTGATATGCTGAGGGGTGTCTCGGGTGGACAGAAGAAGCGCGTGACAACCGGGGAGATGATCGTCGGTCCAAAGAAGACGCTCTTGATGGACGAGATCTCCACAGGTTTGGACAGCTCCACGACGTTCCAGATTGTGAAGTGCGTGAGGAACTTCGTCCATTGCCTGGAAGCGACGGTTTTGATGGCTCTCCTCCAGCCGCCACCGGAAACTTTCGAGCTGTTCGACGACGTCTTGCTGCTGTCCGAGGGTCATATTGTTTACCTTGGTCCACGAGACAGGATTCTAGAGTTCTTCGAGAGCATGGGATTCAAGTTGCCACCGAGGAAAGCGGTAGCTGATTTCCTTCAAGAGGTGACGTCGAAGAAGGACCAGCGGCAGTACTGGTCTGATGACAGCAGGCCTTACAAGTACATCTCGGTGCCTTCCTTTGCAAAGGCATTCAAGGACTTTGAAGTTGGTCAAGATCTCAGCATTTATCTCGCAACGCCATACGACAAAGACTCTAGCCACCCCGCAGCTCTGATGAAGACCAAGTACGGCATTTCAAAGTGGCAGATGTTCAAGGCATGCACGGAGCGAGAGTGGCTGCTGATCAAGCGGAACAGGTTCTTGTACACGTTCAGGACTGCTCAGGTTGCCTTCATGGCCTTCGTGGCGGGAACACTGTTTCTAAGAACGAGGCTCCATCCGGACAACGCGACAGACGCAAACCTCTACCTGGCGACGCTGTTCTACGCTCTGGTGCACATGATGTTCAACGGTTTCTCGGAGATGTCTATCACGGTCCTGCGGCTCCCGGTGTTCTACAAACAGAGAGACAACCTCTTCTTCCCAGGCTGGGCTTTTTCGCTTCCAAACTGGATACTGAGGATTCCCTACTCGATAATAGAGGGGGTCATATGGTCGTGCATCGTCTACTACACGGTCGGGCTTTCTCCAGAGCCAGGAAGGTTCTTTCGATACATGTTTCTTCTCATACTCATGCACCAGATGGCACTGGCGATGTTTAGATTCATTGGTGCAGTTGGAAGGAACATGATCGTGGCCAACACTTTCGGCTCGTTCGGCATCCTTATTGTATTCCTGCTGGGAGGCTTCGTCATCGACAGGACTCACATTCCTGCGTGGTGGATATGGGGATACTGGGTTTCGCCACTCTCTTATGCCGAGAACGCACTGGCAGTCAACGAGTTCAGAGCTCCAAGGTGGGGTGACATATATATGGAGATATTGGAGCCTCGAGGATTGTTTCCGGATACTTACTGGTACTGGATAGGAGTGGTGGTGCTTGTCGGCTACACGCTAGTGCTGCAGCTACTGGGAACTCTGGCCCTTTCGTATTTCGATCCAATCCGTAAGCCGCAAGCGGTGGTTATCGAGGAGGTTTTGGAGGCGACGTCAAGTGACGAAGATGGAAAAGGAAAAGACGATGAAGAGTTTCACGAGGTGGAGATGGAAGTGCTGAATGACCAGGCTAAGGGGATGATTCTACCATTCGAGCCACTGTCCCTCACGTTCCACAACGTGTGTTACTTTGTCGACATGCCGGCCGAGATGAAAGCTCAAGGCGTGACGGAGGACAGGCTCCAGCTTCTTCGAGATGTTAGCGGTGCTTTCAGGCCTGGTGTTCTTACAGCTCTTGTTGGAGTCAGTGGAGCCGGGAAGACGACTCTGATGGACGTTCTCGCTGGCCGGAAAACTGGTGGCTACATTGATGGGGATATCAGAATTTCTGGCTTTCCAAAGGTCCAGAAAACATTCGCAAGGATTTCCGGCTACGTAGAGCAGACAGACATCCACTCGCCTCAGGTGACGGTGTACGAGTCGCTGATATATTCTGCCTGGCTTCGTCTCCCGGGAGAAGTTGATGCAGCAACCAGGTACTCGTTCGTGGAAGAGGTGATGGAGCTGGTTGAACTTGGAAGTTTGAGGAACTCGCTGTTGGGACTTCCAGGGACGTCCGGACTGTCTACCGAGCAGAGAAAGAGGCTGACAATAGCGGTGGAGCTCGTGGCAAATCCTTCCATCATCTTCATGGACGAGCCAACCTCGGGTCTGGATGCTCGAGCGGCAGCGATCGTCATGAGAACTGTAAGAAACACGGTGGACACGGGAAGGACAGTTGTGTGCACCATTCACCAGCCGAGCATTGATATCTTCGAGTCGTTTGACGAGCTGCTACTGATGAAACGCGGTGGAAGAGCTATATACGTCGGCTCTCTTGGACCACACTCGAAGACTATGGTGGACTACTTCGAGGCGATACCCGGAGTCCCCCCCCTGAAAGAAGGCTACAATCCAGCGACATGGATGCTTGAGATCTCCAGTCCAGCAGTGGAGGCCCGACTCGGCAAAGACTTCGCCGACATCTTCAAGAGCTCGGCCTCGTACCAGAGAACCGAGAGTCTGATTGAGTCACTCAAAGTTCCAGCAGCAGGCTCGAAGGCCTTGGCTTTCTCCACGGACTATGCGCTGGATACTTGGGGCCAATGCCGAGCTTGCCTGTGGAAGCAGCACTTGACGTATTGGAGGAACCCGTACTACAACGTCGTCAGGCTCTTCTTCACGTTCGTCTGCGCTCTGATCTTTGGATCCATCTTCTGGGGGGTGGGAAAGCACCGAGAGACGCAGCAGGACGTTTTCAACGTGATGGGAGTCCTGTTTGGAGCGGTGGTGTTTTTGGGAGTGAACAACTCGTCCAGCGTCCAGCCGGTGGTGGCCGTCGAGCGAACGGTGTTTTACCGTGAGCGAGCAGCGGGGATGTACTCGCCTCTCCCGTACGCGTTCGCGCAGGGGGCCATCGAGCTGCCGTATATCCTCGTCCAGACGCTGCTGTACGGGGTGATCACGTACGCGATGATCCAGTTCGAGCTGTCGCTGGCCAAGTTCTTGTGGTACTTGCTCTTCATGTTCCTCACCTTCGCCTACTTCACCTTCTACGGGATGATGGCGGTGGGACTCACTCCCTCGCAGCAGCTAGCGTCGGTGATCTCGTCGGCCTTCTACTCGGTGTGGAACTTGTTCTCGGGATTCTTCATCCCCAAGAGGAGGATGCCCGCCTGGTGGGTGTGGTTCTACTACATCGATCCGGTCAGCTGGACGCTGTATGGGCTCACGGTGTCGCAGCTCGGGGACGTGGAAGATGTCATCACTGTTCGTGGCAGCCTTGGCGAGATCAGCGTCAAGAGGTTTCTCAAGGACTACTTTGGCTTCGAGGAGGACTTTGTGGGGGTCTGCGCTGCGGTCATGCTCGGCTTTGTGATTCTCTTCTGGCTCGTTTTTGCGTTCTCGATCAAGTTTATCAACTTCCAGCGGCGATGAGGTAATGAAAGCTTTAAGCTCGTTGTGGACGATCTTTGGCTGATTATTTTCTTTCCCTTTAGACAGGATTTACCGAAATCCATAGAGACGAAAGGAGAGGTCAGTAAATTGGATACCATACTCAACGTTCATACTTTTGTATGTGACAGGCATAAGCATTTTTTTCCTGCTGTGCGGACTTTCCACTAGAGGTAATGAGAAAGTCACTCTTGTCAGCTCACTTGCTAATGACGCTCTTAATGTTTGTGAAGCAGGATTTACCGAGCAAATCGATAGCAATGAAAGAAACTCACCAGTCAGTAACCTTCACTGCATTTTAATGAAAGAACATTTTTGCTGATTCTCCGCTATTTTGCAAGAGCTCCTTCATCCTTTGCGAGCTTGAGGATGCTCGAGAAGGTCACAAAGTACGAATCCCCGAGACCGGGCTCTTTCTCGACCACCTTCTTCGCAAGCTGGGCTCCCAGGGCTGCCGGATCGACGTCGAGCTTGCAAGCGCTGAGCAGGCTCGTCCACGCGATCTCATCGGTGGTAAACGGCATGCTCGCAATCAGATCCTCGGCCTCTCGCGTCTTTCCGGCCCGCCCCAGCGCGTCCACCATGCAGTGGTAGTGCTCCACGTTTGGCAAGATCCCTCCAAGCCTCATGGAGTGGAAGTAGTTTCGAGCCTCGCGGACGAGGCCCAAGTGCCGGCAAGCGCTCAAAACGTTGACAAAGGTGACGGAGTTTGCAACCAGGCCGTCCATTTCCATGTCGTGGAAGAGCTCCAGCGCCAAGGGGGCATGCCCGTTTTGGGCATATGCTTGGATCATGGTGTTCCAAGTCACTACATCCAACTCGGGCATTCTATCGAACAAGAGTCTCGCGATTCCAAGGCCGCCATTGAGAGTGTAGCTCGACATCAGGGTCGTCCATGCAACCACGTTTTTGAACGGCAGGGATTCGAAGAGAGCGCGGGCCTGCTGCGTGTGGCCGTGGATGCCGTAGGCCTGCAGGAGATTCGTCCAAGATACCACGTTTTGCTCCGGCATGGTGTCGAGCATCTGTGTTGCCACGGCCAGATTCCCGTTTTGGGCATATGCCGAGAGCATCACGGTCCAGGAGACGACGTCGCGCTGCGGCATTTGGTCGAAGATGCTCTTGGCCTCGTGGAGATACCCTTCCCGGGAATATGCCTCGACCATGGCGGTCCACACGACGCGGTCCCTGTGCGGCATTCTGTCGAAGAACTCGCGAGCTTGCTCGAGATGGTTGCCGCACTCGACGTATGCGAAACACATCGTCGTCCATGAAACGATTGACTTGTGAGGGATTCGGTCGAAGATCTTGCGTGCCTCGAGGAGATTCCCGAGGCGGGAATATGCTTGCAGGATCGTGTTCCAGGCGATCTCGTCCTTAACGGGCATGTCGTCGAAGATTCTCCGAGCGTCTTGGATCCTTCCGGACTCAGCGAGGGCCTGGATGATCGTCGTCCAGGAAACTTCGTTCTTTTGCGGCATCTCCTCAAAGATTTTCAAAGCCTCGTCAAGATGCCCGTTTGTGGCAAATGCTCGAACCATCGCTGTCCACGAGACGACGGTCTTGTGCTTGATATTTTCGAAGTATTTTCTTGCCTGGAGGATATTTCCAGCTCTTGCGTATGCTGATGCGATTGTCGTCCATGTCCGGTCATTGGGGCTTTCCATCTTTTCAAGCAGCGCTCTCGCTTTGTCCATATGCCCGGTTTGGGCATATGCATTGATCATCGCGTTCCATGCCACGACATTCTTTTCAGGGATGCTCTCGAAAATATCTAGCGCTTTCTGTATATCACCTTTTTCACCGAACGCAGCGATCATGAACGTCCACGATGCAATGTTGCATGGCGACGTATGGAGCATGTCCGTTGCTTTGTCAAGATGCCCGTTTCGGGCATATGCGGTGATCAGGATATTCCAGGAGTAGGCATTTGGATATGTGATCTCGTCGAACACGCGCTGTGCGTCGACGAGGCTCCCGCATTTGCCGTACATGTCCATGAGAAAGTTGGCCACGAATCGATCGTTGGTGAGGTCGATGGCATTGCGAATTTCCGCGTGGAGTTTCCGGCCTTGGTGAAGATCACGGCACGATTTTAAGATCTGGACGTAGTGCGAGGGCAAATCGTGATTGGGAATGCGATTGAGAGGAGAAGGTGCAATCGATGTGTCTAAAACCCAGACTTTCATTTGAAGATCTCAGTCATTTCTAAAACGTATGATCATGATATGTTCTTGGGTGTGTTAAAATACAACAGTGTCTAACATCGTGCCGAGTGTCTGGACGATGTTGGAAGACATGAGGTTGGCAACGTTTTCATCGAGATGTTTCTTCGCGTCTTGCCTTCCAACGTTTGCAATCGCGAGCTTCTCGGGGGAGAGCTTGTCCTCCTCTTGGACTGCCTTGTTATACTTGACGGCAAGATCGAGCATTTCCTGCGGCGCAACACAAGGTTTCTCTCAACTCTCGGTGATAGAGAAGGATTACCTTGATTGTGGATTCGTTTGTTTTCGTGTGACTATCGAAGTGTTGGAGAGTCAGGCCGTCTGTCCAAGTCTTCTTATGCAGGTTGAGCAGCATTTTCTCCTCCAGCTCGGTCTTGCGATAGTTGATCGCGATCGAGTAGTAGTGCCGGTTTAAACCATGGATCAGAGCCTGTGAAAACGAATGAATCAACATCTATGTTAAGCTTTCGTTCTTCGGTACCTGAATAGAGGGCTTGTTGAGATGACCGAGATTCGAAGTCGTTTGCCTCGGCTCCTGACCAAGCATCATAGTCTGCGGGTTTATCAGCCTAAACGCGTCGATCACGACTTTGCCTTTCACACTTTGAATCGGATCCACCACCACTGCCACAGCTCTTTGATTCAAAGCTTCAAAGCTCTGACAAAAAGAAAAGGCAAACAAAGAAAACGTGAAACTTAAGTTCTATAGATTCTTACTTGCTGGGTGTTGATGTCTACTCCGGATAGCCAGCAGCCAAAACCAGGATGAGAATGGTACCATCCTACAACCATTTCACTCCTGGAGTAGAAAATAATCTGAGAAAACGAGGTGTTCAATCCAAAGTTTAGCTAGCGTACCGTCCTGTTTGCTTCAGCATGTCCATCATCTTAGTCTGGAACACTGGATCCACGGCCTCCACACTCACGCCAGTACCGCTCTGAGGCATCGCAAAGACGTCCACCACGCGAACAGTGTACTCGTCCACAAAGTCCCCAAGCATCAGTCCCATGACTTCCATGGGGACTCCAGCTCTCCCTGCGAAAGAAGCGCAAAGCTCTAGCACGAAAATGCGGAGCTCTCTCCCTCCTTACCGTGCTTGAGCATTTTGAGCAGCGCTAGCGAGGAGATGTAGACCTGCTCGGACGTGTCGACGAGGGGCGAATCGGGGTGAGGCATGCCACCGCCGCCCGCCCCGCCAGCGCCGCTGGAGATGATCCTCTGGAGCCGCTCCATTGCACGCCAACAACCCTAAAGAGGAACCCTAAAGTTCTCCAAAGTAAGTCAACACTTAAAAGTATATATAGAAGTATGTAGACAAAACTGGCAACTACAAAATCCCGACCCCTTGGGACATAGAAAAGAAGCTCTAATATGCCCAATGACTTGAGAATATTGTGCACACAAAAGCTCATTAAAAGGAGAGTCGATATCCTTCCTAAAATAACAACACATGAGCAACTGGTCAAATATTTACGTACTTACCTCCCTGAAAGAGCACACGATACGCATGCTGGACTTTCTTATTTTTCTCAGGAGCTGCGTCAAGAATGAGCGATTTCCAATCGTTTCTAGCATTCTTTAGCCTCGTGACAACACTCAAGGTGAAGTTATTGAGGCGATCAGAATCCCATCCCCATTCAGCATCCTGAAGCTCAAGATTTGAATTCAAAGATCATGAAAAAACTAAATACCCGTGGGAAGAAAAAAGTCATGCTGTCCACTGCTGTGTGCTTCCATCCTGGATTTGTAACAATGTAGTCCCCAATGTCTTTGTTAGATGCTGCTTGAAAATGTTCCATCCCAGATTATCTATTCGCTGGCTGTGAAATCGCTGAAGCCCTAGTAGCGCGACCACGGTCGGGGAGTAGCGTCAGTGGGCTAGAGTGCGGCGCTTGCACTTCGACGCCATGCCCGTCTTGGGCATACATTGCGTTCCAAGTTGAAGATCGATCTTTCGGCAGCGCCCATCGAGCGAGAGAAGACCGCGAGCTGATTGACGCAGCATCTGCTACAGCGCTGGAAGAAGCCAGCCACACCTTTGAACGAAAAATACCAATCGACAACCATTGCCGGTGCTGCCCTTCCTTCTTTAGATCGTTGAGAAGAGCCACGTCTTCCAGCGACACCTATGCGGCACTTCCAGTGGAAATGAGAGAATGGCTACTTTCCTTACACCACTGCGCGCTACCACAAGATCATTTTAGGGGCTTAAGAAACTGTCGCATTGTGACATCATCCAACAGCCCAGTTCACACTTGAAAAGATATTTAAAGTTCTTTGAAGAATTGTTATATAAATTGTTTTAATGTTTTTTTTTGTAAGGCATGGGTTTTTTATTGGAGGTAGCCATGATTGTTAAAAAATTAAGAATTTCTTGGTAGTATATTTTGATTTTTTTCTATGTTAATCTTTTAGTTTTTCAATTGTAGGATTAATAATAAATGCTTTTTTATAATTATTTAATGAAACAAAAGTGAAACTATAAAATGTTTACACTCATTTTAGTTTAAGTATGTTTTTCTTTTTACAATATTTATTTAATAAAAAACACAAAGAAATTATTTCAATATGATGTCATAAAATAAAATAAAAATCAAAAAATAGTAAAACACCTAGAAGATGTATTCTTCCTCCCATGCACTATAGCCCAAAGATTTCTCACCTAACATTCCTCCTTAACTAAAATTGATGTAAAAAACTAAAAGAAATGATTTGAAAGACAATTTGTAAAGATTGAAATATAAAAGAAAAGGGTTTATGAATAAAAATGTATCATTTTTTTAATTTGTTAAAAATTTTGAAATATTTAAATTTAAGTGTCCTTAGTTTTGAATAATACTCGGTTAGGTGACTTCCTAAAAAATCTAAATTCATGAAGTTACATTTGGTATTAAAGAAGAATTGTGTTCGATTTTGTTAGTTAGTAGGACACTATCACTAGTCAAACCTAAAAGTAAAAAATTAAACATTTATATGGAGGAAAAACGTTATTTTCCAAGAATTTTTATTCTTTATAAATAATGGACTAAATTAATATCTCATGTATATAAATAAATTCTTCAAAGAGTTCATAGTTTTATTGTTTAGTTTAATGAGGGTAGGCATTCAAAAAACATCCCAAAAAGTTTAAAATGAATAAAGTTTTATAAGATTTTAATACAGAAAATATAATTTCACTAAACTTAATAAAATAGTAGTTTTTATTATGATTTGATTAAATTAATATTGGTTTGAGGTTATATTGTAATGTCAGAGGAAATTTTTGGAAGTAGAATATTTTTAAGATGGAAGATCTAAGTAGGTCCAACTTCCAAGATACACTAGGTATCAGGCTGTTGAGGCTTCACTGTAAACTTGAGAAGTGTAAGTTCGTGGAGTCGACCTTGCACAAGAAATCCAGCCATGGCAATATAGGCCTCAGGGTTCTCAGGCTCTCGCATCATCACCTCCTCTGCTGCCACCATCCCCTGCTCCATGTCGCCGTGGATACGGCACGCGTTCATCACCGAGGTCCAGACCACCTCGTTTGCAACACAGGGCATGGCATACAAGAGCTCGATTGCATCACTGATCCGCCCGGTCCTTGCCAGGAGATCGATCACGCATCCAAAGTGCTCCCTCGCTGGCTTGATCTCGAACTCCTGGATCATCGACACGAATTGTTTGATGCCGTGATCAATGAGCCCGCCGTGGCTGCACGCTGCGAGCACGCCCAAGAACGTAATCGCATCGGGAGAGATCTCCTTCTCGTCGGTCATCTCACGGAAAAGATCTAGCGCATCGCAAGAATGCCCATTCTGGGCAAATGCTGCGATCATGGAGCTCCACGCCACTGGATCTCTTGTCACAACTGAATCAAACAACCGCTTTGCGAAATCTATCATCCCGGATCTCGCGTAGAGATTGATCATCGCAGTGCCGATGACAGCATCGCCCTTGAGCATCGAGGGATTGATCAACGAGTGGATGTGTTGCCCAGTCTCGATCGCGCCCACGCTCGCGCACGCATCCAGGACCGTCGCGTAGGTCTTGGCATTGGGCGCGAGATCCATCGCCGAGAAGGTCTCGATCGCGGCAACGCCATGCCCGTTCTGGGCATACGCCGCGATCATCGCGTTCCAGGCCACCAGATCCCGCAAGAACAGCCAATGATCGAAGATCTCTTTCGCGCGATCGATCTTCCCGCAGCGGCCATAGAGCGTGAGGAGAGCGGTTGCAAGGATCTGGCAGTGGAGCAGCCCCTCTTGCGCGATCCGGCAGTGGAGCCACTCCCCCTGGCGGAGATCCCTCGCCAGGGCGCTGGCATCTACCGCGGTGACGAACGCGATCTCGTCCGGTGGAGAATCCATCGCCCGGAAGATCTCCAGCGCCTCCCTGGGTCGCGAATTCTGGGTGTATGCCGCGATGAGAGACGTCCAGCAGCAAGCGTCCCTCTCGCCCTGGTAATCGTCGAAAGCCCTCTTCGCCTCCTCCAAGCGCCCAAATCCGCCATAGCTCCTCACCAGCGCAGTGGCGAGGACGCGATCGCTGGAGCACTCGATTCGCGTGCGATCGTGGAGCGAGCGCAGGGATTCCAGGCTGGGGATCCCGCGGAGGAGGAGCGTGAGGATGGGGCGATGGATCGGCCCAGCACCCAGCTCCCACATCCGATCGAAGAGCTCCAGTGCCTCGTCCAAGTGCCCGGCCTGGGCATACGCCGCGATGACGATGTTCCAGGAGTGGGAGTTCTTCCAGGGGATGGAATCGAAGGCGCGGCGCGCGTCGGCGAGGCTGGAGCAGCGCGCGTAGGTCTGGACGAGGAGATTGGCGAGGAAGATGTCGTCCTTGAATCCACTGCGCGTGAGATGTGCGTGGATTCGCTTGGCGGAGTCGAGGGATTTCTCCCGCCCGCATTGGTGGAGGAGCGGCGGATAGGAGGCGCGATCCGCGAAGAGGTTGCGCTCCAGCGCCTCCAGCGCCGCTGGAAGGCTTGTTTGTAACAGTCGCCGCGCGGCATTTGTAGAGAGCGCGGGCATTTACATTGCAAATGGGAGGGGATAACGGGCAATGCCGCGGGTACCGCACTGCACAGTTCGAATAGTACCGCACGGTACGCTATTAAGTAGCTTGCAACCGATTGTACTCCTTTTTCAGCTTCAGCTTGAACAGTACCGAATGGCTCGTTACTATAGTGCCGCGCGGTATACAGCCTGAGCTCAACAGTACCGCGCGGCACTCTTCTTTTTTTCATGCTATGACTTTGTAAGGATTAAAAATTCCATTTGGAGCGAGCATAGCTTTCATCTTTCTCATGAGTTCTATACCTGCGAGAAGAAGAGCAAAAGTTTCCAGAGCTTTTTGGAAGAAGTCGAATTTACCGTCTGGGGACTCCAGTGAATTGCGTGGGCTTTCATGAAGCCCAGCCCGTGCTCGGCGCTTACACTTCCTTTGTGCACGGCAGTCCACTCGTACACGAATGGTTCTATCTTTGCGAGAAGCTGTTCGTCAAGTCCAGAGGTTTTAGAGACGAAAACACTTGGAGCGGAGATGATTTCCATCGCCGAGGCTATGATCCTTCTGTTCAAAAGAACTTAAGTCTACATTTCACTATTTGTTACCGAGCCGTTCACGAAGAAGTTTTTCGTGCGAGCAAAACAAGAGAGTTGTTCTATAAACAGTACCAATCTGCCCGAGTAGCTCGATCGTCACATCGGTATGCTAAATGCCCTTCTACAAGACAAAGTAAAACAATTAGCGGAAAGAAATAGAAATCGATACATAGCTTCTGGTATCACTCCCGGCGAATCACGCAAGGCGATTTGAAAGCGTAATATAAACAAAGATCATTACGTGGCACAATGTGGAAGTGACACCTGTCACATTATTCTCGTATCTACTTAGAACCGTATACGCGTATTAAAAGGTTGTGGAAGCAAAGCTTGGACGAAACTCTTTGCAGCATTCGATGTTTCCGTTGTCATTGTAGAGGCAATCTTTGAGGTCGATGGTGCTGGTCACAGTGCTTCCGTCCTTGGCCTTGCAAGTTGCACTGAAATCGCGTTCATTGAAAAAGAGATCTGCTTCTAAATGGAATTCGCTGCATTTTGAGTAGTACCCAACGTTGGGGTAAAAAGACTCGCCGTAGTTGTTGCAAGTGAGCGTCCCGTCGGGCTTCACCTGGAGGCACCATGCCAAGTCGATGCTCGTGGGAGCATAGAAGCGGCCTGAGCTCCTTTGGCACTCGAGCACCAGCCTTGTGGCGCCGAGTACTTTCGGGTCACGGCATGATTTGTGGAATCCTCCACACTGCACAATGGTCAAACAAGCGACACACGCTCCACTTTAAGTACTAAGAAGAACAATATCATCGACTCACAGTGGCCTGTGATGGAGTGCCCATGAGAAGCAGGACCATGAAGGAGGTGAGGAGGAGGAGAGGAAACAGGGGCGATGATGCCATGGCTTTGAGAAACGTGGATGCAAGCGTGTTCTCAGCTCTGCGTTTTTATAGGGCTAGCTTTTGCTAGGCTCATGAATGATTGAAAACAACATCTGACCAGCTGTGTGGGACCTGCAAACATTTAATTAATATCAATTTCCAAAAGGCTGTAGATCCAATATATCTTGGTTGTCATTTTGTCCAGTGGGAGAGCCCAGATTATAGGCAATAGAGCTTGCTTTGGATATGGGAACATCTGACTAGACGTCTCCATTTTGAAGATTGGGAAATTGATGCATTTTAAATAGGGTCTTATTTTGGTATTATTTTAATGTGGTCCACCAAATATTAAATATATGGTCCCAAACTAACAGTTGAGCATGATGTAGATGTCAAGCTTTCTCTCACTGCTTCTTTTAATTGCTTATTGTTAATTAATTATGGCATAAAATAAATTCATTTCTTTTAAATATAGCTAATGAATAACACCTTGAATATGGAGATAATGTTTAACTACCTTATTGAAATATTATCATAATACTATAAAAATATGATTTACTTAAGTATTATATACTAAAAAAACTTATATAACTATAACAATTAACTTAAATTTATATTAAATATTACATAATAGAATATACTAAATATTCAGATATATTCTTATGTATTTGATAAAACTTAGAACTTTTCAATTATAAATTTCAAATTTCATATTTTTAGGAGCTCATCATAAACAGAAAGAAAGATGACATAATTATTAATAAAATTATAAAGGAAGAAGAAGAGGAGATGACACAAAATCCTAAAAACCATATAGCATATGCATGTATATAGTAAGGTTTGAGTTTGAATCATATTATAGATAATGATAATGAAATACACTCTAAGACATACAAAGAGATGGCAAATATATGATATCATTTCTAAAATATTTTAAATCCACGATATATAATTGTCATTTTGTCCAGCAAGAGAGCCTAGATTATAGGGTAATGGAGATTGCTTTGGGAATTTAGATCAAAGCCACTGATTCCACTAAAAATCTAATTAATGCATTTTAAATTTGAGAGTTTATACTTTGGAGGATCTTATTTTGGCATAATTTTGATGTGGTCCACAAAATATTAAATATATAGTCATTACCAACCAACTATTAGTCCCAACAAATAAGCTGAGCATGATATAGCTGTCAAGCTTTGACATAAAGATGGTTGTAAAAAAAGTCATTTTCATAATAAGATGATAGTTTATCCTATTACCTGTTTTATTTTTTCTCTCTGATTGCTTCTTTATATTGAATATTTTTAATTAATAAGATAATTTTTTTATGTTTATCTGATGAATAAAACCTTGAATATGATTATGAAGGTAATGCTAGAGGATAATTAACAACATTATTAAATTATTTTCATAATACTATATAAAAAATATTTCAATTGTATTTAAATTTAAGTATTATATGCTATGAAAACTTTTTACAATTATAAAAAATAATTTAAATTATATTAACTATTATATAATAAAATATACTAAAATGTTTAGGTATATTCTAGATATACATTTTTGCTTAAGCAAAAAAAAAAAAATTAACTCAAGGATTGTAGATTTTAACATCTTTCTGAGCAATAGAATTTTGAATGATAATTAACCCTTAACAGATCTTGATAAATCTACATTATAAATTTCTAATTTTTGGTATTTTAAGAACTCGTCATCAAGAGAAAGGAAGACAATAAAAATACTGATAAAATTATAAAGAAAAGAAGATTTGTGTTGAACAAAATGTCCTAAAAACCCTACTTTTATACACCATGCATAATAGGTAGGTTTTGGGTTTGAATCCAATAAATAAACTTGAATCCTATTGTAAACAATGCAAATACATGATATCAGCTCCTCCCCTTTTATGCCAAACTAAGTGGCAACTAAAGTGATGGGCTTGAGTGGATAAATACTAATAGAAATCTAACCAACTCAGAAAAATGGGAAACAGGCTTCCAAGTTAGTTGAGTACCTGAGCCAATTGACTGGATAATAGAGCTTGTGATACCTGTACATAGAATCAAAGAATTGGTCGCAACTTTAAATCTAGTTTATTAGTGGTGAAACACAAGTAAAATTAGAAGAGGTGATATAGTATACAAGGATTAAGTTAGTGAGAACAATTTGCAACATGGTGATAAATAGTTTAAACACAAAAAGGTGTTAGTGAACTTTCTTATGACAAGAATTTAAAATAATTGCATAAATGGTAAGATTAAGTATTAGAGGAAAAAAGTATGATTAAAGAGTAGTGAAGAATAAAGTGTGATGTGTCAAGAGTGGCGAGAATTGGTATAAGAAAATTCACAGTAGAAAGAAAAAGATCAATCCAATTATTATATTGATGAGAAATAAAACATTGAAAATACTACTCAAGAGTTCTCACCATCTAGTATATATAGCTAATTATGTTGATGAAAAAGTCAATCCCAAAACTAATGGAATTCCAAAAGAAATGAATTCATGAACTTCTTGAACAAATGAATCATTGGCTTGAGTTACTTCAATCAACAATTTGAGGCAGTGATCAAACCATTTCAATCTAATGCAAAGAAATACTAGTAATTAAGGTAAAAATCTATCAACTATATATAGGAGAGAATTATGTGAGATAATTGATTTAGAAGTAAAAAGAATTAAAGAGTGTATAATATTGAAGAGAGAAAGAGGGAGTGAAATAATTATAAGTAAAAAATCAGCTTACAGACTAGTTAAACTAGTTTAACTGGTTCTTAGCCTTGTTGACTCACACCACACCCTCTAGAACATCATCATAATGGTATATGCTCATACTGGGCACTTCAAAGAAGCATTAGAGCTCTTTGATTAAATCTGGGAGTTGGGCATTGTTGGCCTGTTCCATCATCTTATCCTCACACTCCTCTGTGGGATTTATTATTCTTAAATGCAGCACTTTACAATTTTTTTGCATGGATTTGCTTTGCAAAATTTAGAGATTCACGAGAAAAATCTTTGAATCCAATGAAATGAGTGTGGATTATTGAAAATTCAATTATAAACATAAAATTTATAATATAAAAGTGAGAGTCTTGCCATTTTATTGCACATTAAATTTCAAGCGTTAAATTTAGAATCCTTTTTTGCCACATAATTGCAATTTTTGCTACATCAGCAATACCCCAGGCTATGTAAACTTTGCCAAATCACTATCTATGTGGATAATAAATGCTTATCAGCAAGGAATTGAGATCATTAATTCTAATAGTTAAATAGCAAGCTTCCTAGATCACATTGCTTGCCAGCTGCTCACTCTCATTTGTGCTACCTCATGCTGCTCACTACTACTCATGCTACTCATTGTTGCTTGCTTGGCTCACTGCTGCTTGTGCTGCTCCCTATTGCTTGCTTGGCTCCTGCTTGCTCAACTCGCACTGCTCGCTACTACTCACTAGTGGCTGGAGCTGGATTAATGTGAGTGGTAGAGGGCTTGTGCTTATGATGATAAGCTCTGATTCAAGCACGTCTTGGAGTTCAATGAGCTCAATGTGATACCAGAGGAGCCCTCAGCCCACAAGGAATCCAGATGATATACACACCATTACTCTGTGATTTTACACGCTACTAAACCTCAAAGAAAGAAAAAAAAAAAAAGATTAGTAAAAAGATTTTAAAGAGATTGAAAAATAGAATGTTCGAAAAAATTGTTATATTATTCTTTGCAAAATCTATATAAATGCTCGCATCAAAACTTATCAATCAAATGAAGGAAACAACATAAGCAATGTGATCTGAAAAATTGGCTACCGCTGTGGATTGCCCGCATTGGTGGAAGAGGTTGCGTTTCAGTGCCTCCAGCGCCGTTGGAAGGCTTCTTTGAAACAGTCGCCGCGCGGCACTTGCAGAGAGCGCGGGCATTTACTCGCTTACATTGCAAATGGGAGGCAATAATACCGTGCGGTATACAGCTCGAATAGTACCACGCGGTACGCTACTTAAGATCCAACAGTACTGCCCGGCACAATTTTTTCATCTTAACGGGTAGTGTCGCGCGGTGTACAGCTTGAGCTCGACAGTGTACGTGTCTTTTCTTTTCGTTTTTTTTCACGCTATGACTTTGTAGGGATTAAGAATTCCGTTTGGGTCGAGCATAGCTTTCATCTTTCTCATCAATTCTACCTGCGAGAAAAGCAAAAGTTTCCAGAACTTTGAGAAGAAGTCGGATTTACCGTCTCGGGACTCCTGCTGTAGTGGATTGCGTGGGCTTTCATGAAGCCCAGCCCGTGCTCGGCGCTTACGCTGCCTTTGTGCGCCGCCGTCCACTCGTACACGAATGGTTCTATCTTTGCTAGGAGCTGTTCGTCAAGTCTAGAGATCTTAGAGACGAAAACACTTGAAACTTGGAAGAAAAAGCTTGCCTTTTCGTCGTAGTCTGGAGCGGAGATGTTTAGATGAAGATTTCCATCGCCGAGATGACCGTACGCTACCACTGTGGCTAATCCTTCTGTTCAAAAGAGCTTTTTAAGTCTATAGACAATTTCACTATTCGTTACCGAGTCGTTCACGAAGAATTTCCACGAGATTGTAGAGGTCTTTGATCGGTATTGAGAGATCGTATTTGTACACTGCTCCAGCCTTCCCCAGGGCTTCGGCAATTCCCTGAAACAAAGATGGAGAAAAGATTGTAACGAGGAAGTTGTAGAAACCATGCCTCTCTTATATGCCAGAAATTTGATATTTGAGTGTTGTCCTGTGCGATTGTGCCGTCGACAACGAGTCCTTGTGTAAGAACAGTCTCCACAAAGTTATCTAGCTTCTCCCTGTAAAAAAAACATAAGTACAGACATCCTAGGCGCGTGGATGTAATAGCTTACTTATCATGTGACTGGTTACTGCCTGTGGTTTCTATGAGAAGGTAAAATTTTTCCTTGGCATCGGGAAGTGGATGACGATCTCCGGAGTGTTTTAGCACCTAAAAGAAACTGATTTAGATAAAACATGAAATGGATCCCATACAAGTTCTTCGCTTACCATATCAAGCGCAAACGAATCAATAAACTCAAATGCCGACAGCACTTCGCCGAGATGTTTCCTTGCTTCGAGAAGCATTTTCTGTGGAGGAAACATCAGCAAACATGCGAAAAAGAGGATCACAATGTCGTTTCTTACCTGGCAGCTTGTGTAGTCTGTGCACGCCAGAAATCCCACATTCACGGAAGGTAGCTTTTGTGGTGTCAGCACAGCCACTTTAGTCACCACTCCAAGTGTTCCCTCGGCTCCTGCTTAAACGCTTTGTAAGCAGTGATATGGAACTGCTTTGTAGAAATGAAACATACCAATGAAGAGCTGCTTCAAATCGTAGCCTGTGTTGTCCTTTCTTAAACTCGATAGCATATCCAGAATTGTTCCGTCTGATAATACAACTTCAAGGCCTACAAGAAAGAAGAAAGTTTGAGACTTAGAAAGAGCAAAGCTACGATTTCTACCGAGAATGTTGCCATGCAGTGACCCGTATCTTATCAAACGAAGGCCACCTGCGTTTGTCGAAACGTTTCCTCCGATCTGGCAGCTTCCTTTGGCTCCGAGGTCCAAGGGAAACATGAAACTTCGAGGGGATTAAGCCAAGATTAAACTGAAGTAAGTTTATACCCTTTGTCCGCAAGAAATTTGTCCAGTGTTTCCAAAATGCAGCCTGCTTCACAGATGAGAATACCACTGACCTGCAAGGCTCGAGATTCGAATGGATGAGAAATCTAGAGAAACGAGAAGTCCCACCTCATCGAAGGAAATAATCGAGTTCATTGCTCCAAGATTGACTATAACCTGGTTGGATCATTCCAAAACTAGAGCTTGAAACAGATAAGTTTTTTTCATACCTCATCAAATACAGGAACGCTTCCTCCAACAAGCCCCGTGTTGCCACCTTGAGGAACAACAGCAATTCTTCTCGAACTGCTGTACTTCAGGATCTCGGCTACCTGGCCTGGAGGAACTAAGAACTTTGGAGAGAAAACGTTTAATCGAGACACTCACTTGATTTGAAGATTGGGGGCGAAGGAGGAGCTGAGCGGATCCTTTGAACTTCCTCATCCAGTCCGTGTTGGCCACTTCCAATTCATCCTTGTCCACAACCAGGCCCTTCGATCCCACTATCCCGGAGAAGTGCTTGATATCTTGATCATCCAGTGTTGCAAAGCGTTCATCTCTTACAACTTTGGAGGACGCTGGAACGCTGTAAGCTCGACAATTCTCTAGCCACTTCTTCCCTGGAGAAACTCGAGCGATCAAGTTTTGGAATGATAGAGAAAACTCATGAAAGAAGAATGTGTACCGAGAGGTGTCCAGCGTCGTTGAGCTAGAATTCTCCTCATCTCCAGTAGAGCGAGCCCTAATAGAAAGTCTAGTAAGTAGTGTGCATCGTTTATTCATTCACCACTGCGACTTATTCCAGAAGAGAAGCTAGAAGGCTCTAAAACGGTCGAGCTCTATACATTGTCACCTCTTGTTGCTTGAAGTAGCGTCGATCTTCCTCGTCCACGAGCACCAGGTTGAGGTAGTACTTGACGCTAAATTTGTTGTTCACGTTGCGATACGTTGGCGTGAGATTGAAAGGACTCAGAAACAAGCGAATTGGAACGGATTCTCCTGCCATAAAACAAAGTTAAAAAGAGGAACTTTCAGTCGATCATCAAGGACATACCACGAACAGGAGCTCCATCCATAAGTTCATACTTTGCAATCGTCTCGGTCTCGTTGTAAGTGTTTGGCCCCGAGCCAGTGGACTCCCGGCGTCTTACTTCAATCTCCATGTGTCGGATCTTGAGCCGGACGAGGAGAAAGAAAATCTTGCCAAGGATCACGTCCTTCAAGTGATATCTGAAAGGAAAAACTTGTTTTTCTCCAAGAGCTAACCAACGTGAAGGCTTACTTGCTTTTGTTGTACTCGAACTCTATGTGTAGACAATCCTCAATCCCAACCTCCATCTAAGCACAAGTTGGTTTTTTTTAAAATAAAAAAGCAGTAAATTGTCGAAAAAAAAGAGAAGTACCACCTTGATAGAATTGTTGATTGCGGGAGGAGCCGAGAAATTGTGTACCTGGTTATGCAGGAAGTTAAGAAATAAGTCAGCCTTGTTTGCTCAAGATCATACCCAGAAGTCCTTGCTCTCTGTAAGATTCGACAAATAGTTTCTGCTAACAGTGACTTTCAGTATATACCTACAAGAAAGAAAGAAAAAAGCATTGACAAAAAGAGAGAGAAAAAAACATGAACACTAACCTCAATCTCACGTTTGTGCCGTTGTAGGATTCATACGGCATTTCCACCGCTGAGAACTCAAAAGGATAGACTTTTCTCTCCGCAATCTCTCCCAAGACATCCAGCTCCCTCACTGGAAAAAGTTGGAGTATATAGAACTAGAAACTAAAGCTACCAAGTGATGTGAAATCGTAGTAATTCCCGCGATCGAAATAGAGCTCTGTGAAGTTTTTCGTGTGAGCAAAAAAAGAGAGCTGTTCTATAAAACAGTACCAATCTGCCCGAGTAGCTCGATCTTCACACCGGTATGCTCAAGCTTTCTTCCAGGCAATGGATCGATACGAACCTGTTGTTCCATGCTAGAAAAATTCCATGACGAGCTAAACAGCCATACCTCTCCATGAAGGCTCTCTTGGCTGTGAAAAATCGGCAGACCATTGCCCTTCTACAACACAATGTAAAACCATTAGCGGAAAGAAGAGGAAGAAATACAGAGAAATCGATACATAGTTTCTTCTGGTATCACTCTCGGCAAGCACGATCGCGATCACGCAAGGCGATTTGAAAGCGCCGACGATTAGATCCTGCCAGAGAAAGAGATCATATCAGTGTAAGAACAAAGATCACACCACACCATTGCGCTTGCTCCGGGATGATAGAACCCTACATTCCATTTTAAGTACGTGGCACAATGTGAAAGTGACACGTCACAAACTTGGGATATTGATATTTAACTTAGATTAAACTTAAACTTAAATTTAAAGGTTTGTTCAAGCAAAGCCATTGTCGTTATAGAGGCAATCCTTGAGGTCAATGGTGCTGGTCACAGCGCTTCCATCCTTGTCATTGCAAGTTGTAGTGAAATCGTGCTCTGTGAAGAAGCGATCTGCTGCTATATAGAATTCGCTGAATTTTGAGTACCGCCAAACTGTGGGGTAAACCTCACTGCAAGTGAACGTCTTGTTGGGGCTAACCTGGATGCACCATGCCAAGTTGATGCTCGTCAGAGCATAGAGCCGGCCTGTGGTCCTTTGGCACTTGAAATTTGGTGCTGACGACTGGCAAGGAGCGGCATGAGGTGGAATCCTGAACTCTGCACAATGTTCAAACAAGCCACACACATTCATATAAGCCAATGCCACTATAAGTACTAAGAAGAACAATATCATGGACTCACAGTGGCCTGTGATGGAGTGCCCATGAGCAGCAGGACCATGGAGAAGCTAAGAAGGACAGCAAACGATGCCATGACTTTGAGAAACATGAATGGCTAGCTCTTGGCCAAGCTCATTACTGCTTTGACAGCTCTCTAGGTAATAACATCAAATTCAAAAAGGCTGTGATCCACCCAGTCTCGAATAAAAGCAACTTTGGTGATGGGAACACCTGAGATCAAAACCAGCACCACCAGGCAGTGTTATATCTATTTGAGAAGATTAGCTAATTAATGGATTTCAAAGCTGTTGACAATATGAGTAAGGAATATACTATAAATATTTAAGTATATCATTAAATCTCTCAAATTATTTTTAAATATGATTTATTATTAATTTTATTACTAATCACTAATATTATGGAAATAAAATATACACATTTATTTGATTAGCCCCAAAATGCTAGCTTATATATATATATATATATATATATATATATATATATATATATATATATATATATATATATATATAAAGTGGTTAAAATTGAAATCAATCTGGTAACTATCAAAATCCCACTACACTAATATTAATATATAATATCATAACTATTTAGTTGGACTTTACATCATCTCCCTCTTTCAGAAGGAAGGATGAAAGGCAATTAGAGTTTAAAATTAAACTCAATACATGAGAGTTCTTGTCAAGCTAATGTAAGTGATTAATGTTTCCATTCTATTTTAGTTATTTAACCACACCTTTGATAATTTAGAAGAATCTCATTCATAATATCCATAAGTATTATTTCTGATTTAGGGACTTGCTAGCCCCATCTGTGAATAGCCTCTATACCATTTTAATTTTGCATTTAGTACAAGTGTTTCATGTGTCCAATCCCACTACAGATATCTAAAAGTATTATTAACATATCAACCCATTAAACTAAAGCTATATTCATTCACCTTTTTTCATTAATGGTCTAAAACCACCCATACCACCATTTCCTAAAGATTGTGTTATCCATCCATGAGTAGTCATCCCATGACCACACTTTAGCATCCTTAGAGTGCCTGAAAATATGCAGTAATATTTACTAACATTGTCATTATATCAGGGCCCGAAGGCTTGACCACTAAATCTTATTAACTTATAGGACTTCTTCACTATATGATTATACCTTTGGTCACTATGCAAAAGGTTTACTCTTTTTCTTTTCCACAAGGATGATATTTTGAAACACTATAGCTCTATACAAGCCTTGTGGATACTCCCCTTACCTTTTGCCTTTGGATGCTTTAGTTATATGGCTAAAATGAGGTTTTGATGAGCCACACTAAATATCTAAGTAAGTAGTGCCACTCACACTTAGATTAGAAGCATTGATCATTCGATTTCCCAAAGGAGTTAAAACTAGCTTTTGAACACTTTACAAAATTACCCTAAGTCACATTGGCCTTTTTTGGCCAAACTAGTTCTACTGGAGTGCAACTCTACACTCTCCCTACTATCATTTGACAATTGTTTTAGGCTTTCACCCACCAACTTGTATTAATATTTGGACTTGGACTTGGATTTGAGTTTGGATTTGGTCTCGGTCTTAGTCTTAATCTCAGTCTCAAACTTCATCTTAGACTTAGTCTCAATCTTTATTTGGACTCTATCTCAGACTTCATCTTGGATTCCTTCTTGGATTCCATTTCATACTCCATCTTACACTCCACCTTGGATGCCATCTTGAACTCCTTTTTAGACTCTATTTTAGACTCTTTCTTGGACTCTATCTCAGGCTCATACCCAACCTTTTATATGTTACAACACTTGTTATGTGTTAGTCCTTTTGATGTCCCTTTCTAGAGACGTGTTCACCGATGTAGTGCATGTGGTTTTTACTCTATATCCTATGGTGATTTACCATAGGATAACCATGAAGCAGAACCTAAACCCTCTATGTGCCACATGTCATATGCCACGTGTCCAAAAGACAGTGGTGTGGAACTCGAGTTTCAGGGATTTGGGCCACTAAATAAAGAAACGGTGCCAAACTCCCATGGAGCCAAAGAGTGATGGAACTGGACCATGGAGCAACTCCTGAGTATATAACCTAAGGAGCGAAGGGACAAAAGCCCAAAGCAACTTAGAATAGTCCTAGAATAACTAGCATCCCAAACGGAGCCAAACAAAGTTTGGTGCTATTTCGGCATATCAGTGGGCTAATGCAAGGATATGGGTACTCCACCAGCTAGCATAGTGTGGAGCTTGGGCTTAGACCCAAGTCAGATGTAAAACAAGGATACGTACGCAAGCAAGAGCTAAATTATGCCTCAAGTTGGTCAAGCATGCCCGACCTACCCACTATCCCTACTATACATTTGAAACCCCCCACAGTGGCCCCCCCTTGAGGAACACACGCTTTGGGCTTTCACCCCAAGCTTTCTTTAGTATCAGGAGTTAGTCTCTGGGACAAGCTCGAAATTTACTAAATATGGAATATCCCTAGATTGCAAATTTGGACACGGGACGAACACCATTATGTTCAATAGAATCTCTACATTTTATAGATATGCCAAATGAGCAAATTTAAACACTTTCCATAAATAGCATTTGGGACCAAAATGAGACTAACACAAAGGGCATGATAGTGAGGGTGTTTGGCAGACACGGTAAGCTATTATCCAGCAATATTGAGGGACTAATCTCAATGCGCAAGGGTTCTTGAAGACAGAGCAAAAAAGAACTAAGAGCCAAGCCAAGTATGCTCAGCTAGAAACACATAGGAGTTCCTACTTTATGTCCATTTGGATAAGTACATATGCAAAGTCCAGTTTACTAACACTTGAAAAGGAGGTGTTGATAAAAAGAACTAGCAAAACCAACTTCCTGCCATCGTGGCAGTAAAGAAAGAGTGTTTATAAGGACTAGTTGACAAGTAACTTTTGATACTCGAAGTCACATTCGCGACACTCCCCCCCCTAGGGAAGGTCGATGTCCTCGTCGATGCATACTCAAGTCTAAACTGCTGCCAAGGCAACAACTTTAGAAAAAGTTCATGGTGATCACACTATGTGACAAATGCACTAACTTAAATGAGTTAGGAGGCAACCTCTTTGTCTAACGTGGATGCGCTACTAGCTTAGACGCCTTCTGGCCGTCGCCGACAAGGAAATGACAAACAGAGTTAACCACCCTTGCTGCTCTGGGTGTCACCCAGCTTACAAAAGTGTGATACGCCCTTGCCCACAGGGACATAGAGAGAGAAGCCAAAGGCCCCAACCCTCATGAGCAAACAAACCAAACCTGTTAGTATGGTTTAAATAGACTACTGTAAACAAGCAGTTAGAGTTGTTTATATGGTCATGCCCTTTTAAATGACATAAAGAACATCGATAGAGAGGCAGGTGATGTGATCAGTCGATAGTAGCTACCCCATGACTAAAGATTTCATTATGCATACGAAGTGCCAAAGCCAGTCTGCCTATACTGGCCCAAACTCAAAGATCAATATATAGACAATATCAAAGTCATAGACAATGATATCTTAGAGACTTAATTATTAGTGAATAAAGCTTAGTTTAGAACACCAAAGTATTCCAAGTAAGTTATCATTTGATAAATTAAAATTATAGTAGAGGAATCATCAAGATCACTACCATTGGAAAACATAAGATTCACCATCTAAAAATATTCAATAGCCAATGTATCATCAAGGAAACTCAATGATAAAACTCAACTACCAAAGATTGTAGATAACATGCCAAAAAACTTACAAAAGACAGTACAAAGAATATAAAGTATTATTGACTGATAAGCAAAATGCTCGTGAATGTATCACCCGATGGAGAGAACATCCTAATCTATCAAAACTAACTTGAGCAACAATCAACAAAACAGAATGAATGCGGTAGAACCAACAAACATTCGTTCATACCAACTATCGCACTAGTCAATCGGAATAGATCCTAGTCAATAATACTAAGGAATCAGAGTTGCTCAAGCAAGTGTCAGCAACATTCTATTGATGTCTTAGACCTAAGAGACTAATCTAGAGCAAACCACAAAGAACATGTGGTATTACAAAAAGCCATAAGCCAGCAAAGAGAACAACTAACTATCATGAAAGATCATTAATAATCCCATCAATAAAGAGATGCATAATCATCATCGAAGAATGACAAATCATTTTAGATCAACAATGATCAAGCAAAACTTTTGACAAGGCTAATTAACTATCCTAGATGATAGTTAATTATCACCATTGATTGCCAGATGCAAATACTAACTTTAATATCAAACCTAATGAGTTAAACTATCTTCCCTAACAACTTCTAACAAATGGAACAATGAGCATAAAACTTAAAGAACTAAAAGCTCAAAGAAGCCTATAGCCAAGTCATACTTAACAATGATCATGAGTTTTATATGAACTAATTTCAATGCTAAAGAAGAAATCATGGTGCAACCCACAATATTCTCCTCAACAAATTCATAAGCTAAACTTCATAAT